ATATCGTTTTGCAGAAATTTTTCACTGCTTATTTATATTAAATTTTTTTTTTTTTTAAGTATATGTATATATAATTTTCATTTTTTGCAGGGATTATATCGATGTGTAGCTGATGTTGCAATAGTATCAACTGATCTTCTAGATAGTTATCTTTTAAATAATCGAATAAAACGTTCAGCTGAAATGCCTCCAGGGAAGGTGCTAAGTAATGCGCTCATTGTGAAGCGTGCCATACCAATTCATTTTACTCTTCATCCAAAAAAGTAATTTTTTTTTTGATTGCGTTATTAACTTTTTTTTTTTTTTTTTTTAGAAAAAGTATTTATTTATCAGTATTTATTTGAAAATTACGAAAATTACATATTTATTTGGAAAAAAAGTATTATCAGTATTTATTTGAAAATTATGATGAATTTTGTTTATTTAACATAATTATCTTTATCAGAATAAAGTATAACGTATAATTAATTGAATATTGTGATTATATTTCCTTAATGATAATGTGTTAATTTTCGTCAAAAGATGCAAACTTTTTACCTGTTGACAATAGATTAATAATAATAACAATAGTGTTAATATTCTGTGAACAGTAAAATATAGATGGAAATAGAGAATTGGCTACTGTCAATTTTAATCATTTAATTTGCTTATGAAATTAATAATATTATTATTTAGTGCTAAAACGATGATAATCGAATTCACTTTAACTTCTTTTTTTAGCTTAACAGTATCAAATGGTTCGGTTTTCCGATTGGAATGTGCAACAAGTGGTTCATTTCCTGAACAAATTATTTGGTATCAAAATGATACGCAAATTTTAGTTGAGGCAAATAAAGATAATAATATTCATATGTGAGTAATTGATGTATTCTTTTTTTTTTTTTTTTTTGATGAATTTAAAACTACCTTTTCATCAATTTTATTAGCTTTATTTATTAGTCTTATCATCCGTTTTTTGATACATTATGTTAATTTAGCTCGAAAACATACCAAGAATGAATTTTAAACAGTGAAACAGTGAAATTCTTTGCGGCTGTTAATCTTCAATGTTTGAATTTAATTTCTTTTATGTCTTCTTTAGAGTATTTTATTCATTTCAAAATTGATTTTTATAGATATACCACTGATCATCAATCCGTATTGCATTCAATAGGAGTAGATCTGAATGATAGCGGCCAATATCGTTGTCGTAGTGGAAGTATATTTAGTGATAGAGCAGTCATAACTGTTATTTTTGGCGACGGTTTGTATCACTCTGTTTATTCATTTCTGATTGATAATCATTTTTACTCTAATCGTAATAAGTTGTTGTAGAATGATAAATTAGTTTTGCTTGCATTTGTCCTTGATAAATTTTTTAACTTTTTTTTTCCTAATTTTATAAAGAAGAAGAGGTAAGGAGGAAAAGGAAGAGGAAGAATACGAGGACAATGATTGATCGGACTTTCCTTGATTTTCTGATTTTAAATTTTTTTAGAAAATTTACTAATTTACTAGAAATTTACTAGAAAAACTAAAATTTACTAGAAAATTTACTATTAAAGGGAGTGACGTTTCATAATAGTGGAATAGACATATAGAAAAAATTTTATTCTAAATATTCAAGTATCTTTTATATTATAAGTCTAAAAAATGCGACACTCAAATACTTTCGATTCTTTCAGATAAGCATGCAACTGAAAGTTCAGTGATGTTAACCGACCTTCCGTCAGAATTGTTAGTTCCTATTGGTGAAAGTGTTATATTGGAATGTCTTTTGGATGATCCACATTCAACTTCATCGTGGCATGTTGTAAATGAATATGGACAACCTATTCGAAGTATGTTCTCTATTTGATTTTCACTATATTTGAAGAACTAAAAATTAATAGTAAAAATTTTATGAAATGGTTAGTTTAGTCGAAGCTAACTTTTTAGTAAGAAACGAGAAAATCGATGTTTGATTCTTATTAAGTTCATTCTAAGCAAGTCCAATAAGTGAAATATGCTATTCATTAAAATATTATTGCATCAATTTGGTGGATAATCTTTGTTGCGCTAATAGTGCAATGTTATTGTTTGCAATAATAATAGTTCTGTTTAAAAAGTTCCACGAGAATTTAAAGAATTTCTCTTTTTTTTTTTTATTTAAAGAATTTTTTTTTTTTTAATTCTGTTTGTATGTATGTATAAAGCCGTTAAAATAATTCAAATTTTTGTATCATAGATGCTAAATATTTTGAATTTCATTTTTGTTTAACTGAATCATTGAAAAAGGACGTTTTATTTAAATTTCAATGTTGAAAAGAGTAAAAAAAAGGGATGAAAAGGGGGTAATGTAACATTTGTAGATTTGGGAATGTCTCATGATTGGCATATTTATTTATAGTTTCTTTTTTTTTTTTCATTTTGTTGATTTTATTGCAGAATATCAAAAGGATGATGTGAAAACACGTAGTGCAATGGTAATTCATTCAGCCAATACTCAAGATAATGGCAGGTATACTTGTGTTACCGTTGGGAAAACAGTTCGACAAACAATTTCAACATTTATCACAGTTCAAGGTTATTTGATAAATGCGCATAAATTTTTTCATCATTAAAACAACTAAAATGAACGCGTTATATCTTTACTCTATACAAATACACAAATGTACAAAATATAACATAGACAACATTATCATTATAATATATTAAATTATAATAAATTCAGAATAAATTATTTATATAGCAATCAAACATTTCAATCATAACTGTAAAATAAATCGATGACCTAATTTGAAATTTAATTTTGTGCTGTAGTTTTTTATAAAAAAAAGAAAAAAAAAGAAAATTGTTTTTGTTGGAATGTAGAATTGGATGTTAATTGCATAAAATTTAGTGGCACCAATTTTGATGACCAAACGTACGGTGCAAAGGATCACAGGTATGCTTGGGATGACAGTTCGACTTCGTTGTTCGGGATCTGTTGAACCACATGATACATCATTTCAAATAAATTGGTACAAAGATGGCAAAAAAGTAGTACCATTTGGAAGAGCAAAGGTTATTTTTGAATTTTTCAAGTGCATTTTATGGCCGTTTGATATGATATGATTTTTTGAATGATTAACTGAGTAAATTATATGCTATTTTAAAAGTTGCTAAGCATAAAATAATTCCATTGTAATTACGATAAAAAAACATTTTATTCTTCGTTCTTTATTCTTCACTGTTTTTCATATTTTAACGATGTTAGAATATTTGTATATTTCTGCAGTATTCATTTAAAAATGAAATTGCAAAATTTTTTTTTTTTTTAAATAAAGCAAAAATTAGTAAATTGAGATAATACAATATGGATACTGTTTCTTGTTTGTAAAATTTACTGACGAAATTTGGAATTCATTGTCAGAAAAATTGCTGCAAACTTATTGGAATCAATTACTGCATTAGATAATTATATTAAATTTTATTATATTTTTAGTGTTAGTTGATAATTATTGAGAAAAGAAATGAAAGAAAAATTACAAAATTATCAATTTTCATAAATGATGAAGTTATTTTGAGCTTTTTTTTTTTTCTTATCGATAATGTCAACTTTTCCTCATAATTCACCACAATTTACAATTACTACCTCTTGTGAAGTTTTACCATCTTCTGAGCCAACAGCTTCAATCTTCTTTACTACCTCCATTCCTTCGATTACTTTCCCAAATACTACATGTTTACCATCTAACCAATCTGTTTTATTGGTACAGAGAAAAAATTGTGAACCGTTTGTATTTGGACCTGCATTTGCCATTGATAGAATTCCTGGTCCAGTATGCTTCTCAATGAAATTTTCATCTGGAAATGTTTCACCATATATTGATTCACCACCAGTTCCATCACCATTCGTAAAATCACCTCCTTGACACATGAATTCTGGAATAACTCGATGAAATTTGCAATTTTTATAATGAAGTGGCTTTCCAAGTTTACCCATTCCTTTTTCACCTGTACATAAGCATCGAAAATTTTCAGCTGTTTTTGGTACTATATCATCAAATAGTTCCATTATAATACGTCCTGATGCATTTCCATTAATGATAATATCAAAGAAAACATGTGATCGTCCTTCATGTTTTTTCATTTTTTTATTTTCATCTTTTTCTATTTGCTTTGCAACTTTAATATTATCATTTTCTGCAGCTTTCATTGATCTCTTCTCATTATTATCAGCTCTCTTATCTAATTCTTTATCCTTTTCTGCATGAATTACTTTCTTCTGCATACACATTCTTTTTTTCAATTCTTGAGGAACAGATGTAATAATTTTACACAATTGGTAATTGTGTAAAATTGAAACGATAGAAGTAATTGAGTAGTTGCTATTTGATTAACAAATGATAGCATTATAAATGAGAGCATCTTTTTTATACTTTTTGATTAAATTTATGTAAATTAAATAAAGGCTTCTTTATACCTTTTATGTAAATAATCAAATTTGATTTAATTTTATAATTTATTAAAAGTAATCTTATACATCACATACAATTTATAAATGAAAAAAAAAAAAAAACGGCCATCTTATATGAACTGATTTAGTTTTCCTATCAATAACTCTGTTATAGCCTGTATCAATTTTCACATTGTTGAATAAATCTTTTTCAACTATACTATCTTATCATATCAGTAGATAATCTAAAAGATAAATAGAAAAAAAGATTCGTGGGAGCAACAAATAAAAAAACAGGTTATATTCTATTTGTCTAAGTTATTTATTTCAATACTATAATGAGATATTTAGAAAAAAAATAGTATTCAGCCTTATGTCTTTCTTATGAAAACTCTGAAATTTAGAAAAGATATAAAGATGCTTCAAGAAGAATTATATGTCATATATTTCAATTATCATTTGTATGTAGTAATCATTTATAATGGAATATTATTTTACTTTAATTACAGTAGAAGAAAAGTCATGAATATTTCCTATATATTCAGGAAAAAGTCATGAATTAAAGAGATGAAAATTAATCATATCGTCATTAAATTAATTAATGTTTATTCAGTTACTACCTGTGGAAGGTTTCGTATCAGAAATTGCTGTCAATGAAATGGGTATAAGTATGGTTAGATTTACCAAAGATTTGCTCTTTTCAAGTGTGCAGCAAACTGATCAGGTAATTTTATTTAATTCATTACTTCTATCTGATTGGCATTGTTTTTATCATTTATCATTTATTATTACTCCATATTTCTTATAAGGAAATAATTTTAGGGATTATATCAGTGCATTGCAAGTAATGCTATTGGTGAACGAAGTACATTCATCGGTTTGATAGTTGAAGCTGAAATTGATTCAGTGATAACAAATCTTGAAGTTACCGTTGATCATACGAAGTAGAATTTTTGTTATTGCTATTTTTTCTTATTCAATGTTTTTATTATCATTTTTACACATATTTATATTTCATTTTTAATCATCAAAGTTGTCTTCCAAGCAGATATTCGATTAAAAACAGATAAAATATACAGCAAGATTTAGCGGACATAAGCAAAACACTGCGATCAATTAATTATAATCATTTAGTTTAAAAAAACAGATAATTCAATATTCGCAATCAATCAATAAGCGATAATAATGATGCTTTGTTTGATATATGTGATAATAAATGGTGTTTTAATAAGATTTTATGTTATTGTTTTAGATTAAGATTTTTATTGATTGCAACATAATAGTTAATCGTTTATTTCAACAAGAAATTTGTTATTTTAGTGCACAATTTAACTTAAAATGGCATTTGCCACAAACAATGGATTATCTGGAAGCTGATCATACGATATTTCTATTGAATTATTATTTATCAGATGGTGAGTTTTTTTTTTTTTTTAATTTGAAAAAATCTCATATAAAAGATGCATTAATAAGTTAATCTTTTGTTTGGTAGTTATTCTGAAAATATTCCTGTATTTTGATGTCTAATAAGATTTCAACTGTTTATCATCTTGCATTTATTTCAATTCATCAGTATCATATATTATCACATTTTAGAATAAATGTAATGTTTAACTTTAGGAGTTACCGTTCATATAGATAATAAATTTTCATAAATTGAATGAAATTATTAATTTTTAAGGTGGTAGTGCAAATAATGTACCATTGCGTAATGTCCATTGTACACCTGATAATTGGTGTATTGCTAAATGTTGTTCATCGAATTACATATTTTTACCTCGACAGAATTACACTTTTCAAATGTCACTTTTTAAAACAAATGCAGTTGGAAAAATTACACCGCTTTCAGAACATGTGACAGCTTTATCATGGGATGGAGGTGCATTTTATTAAAATTAAAGAAATTTTTTTTTTGTGAATTTTCTTTAGACATTTTCAATTAAAAATATTTGAGATGTTTTTTTTTTTTTTTTTTTATACAAAATAGAGAAAGATCATCAGTGTACTAATAATTTTTTCATTTAATCATCCATATTTATGTAATGTTTAAAAGCAAGCACTAATAGAGTATTGAGAAGTTGAAGGCTTAGTCATAATAATCTTTCTCTATTTTATAAAAAAAAAAAAAAAAATATTTCAAATATTTTTAATTGAAAATATTCAAAGATAATTCACAATTATGCCTGTTTTCAAACTATTTATGATGATTTTCCAATTACTTTTAAAATTGACTGTGCATAATTGCAAAAATTATAGAATTTTCATGAAGAATCTATGAGATAAGATTATTTATATTAAATCTATAATATAAACAGTTTACTTTTAGTATCAAAGAAGGCTATGGAGCTTACATTTAGTAGATTAAGTGAAGAGACATTGGAAATTTCATGGCAGCATCCATCGATTGATATAACAAATGGCTTTATACAAAAGTAACTAATACACTTTCGTTGAATTTAAAAATTCCATAATATTTTTTTTTTTTTTCTTTTTAATTATTGTTGAAAAAATTTTTTAACATTCATAAAAGTTTCTTTTTGAGATTGGAAATTCATAAAGCATATAATAGCATCATTTAATGAAGGTAATCACATATGAGCTTTATGGTAGAAGTTGTAGATTTATATACTTTCGATAGATATGTATAAATTTTAGATATGTGGTCGAATATTACAAAGATTCTGAAGCACTGCATGAAGTAAAAAGGAAGAATATTTTGCCCAACTCAACAGTTTGCCTTTTAAATGGTATTTGATTTTGAATGTCAATTTTGTGTGTCTTTAAGATTTTTAACATTTTGCATTAATAAGAAATGAATGAATTTGATAAGCTTTAGACGAATGTCGAGATGAAAGCCGAAATTACCTTACTATGATACAAATTCTCAGTTGATCTATCTGAAGCCAACCAGAGTCAGAGTTAGAGTTAGACAGAAAAAAATCCAATTGAGAAATAGAATATTAATTTATCTTTCAAAATTCAGCAATTTCTTCTGCTCAAATTAACATCTTAATATTAAGATAATACCTGTCTATACTAAAAAATGATAATAGTTTTATCATAAATTCAATTAAGAATTTACATTTATGATATTTAATATGTTAATTCATAAATAAGAGAAAAATGTCATTTGAATTCTTTCATTTTAAACGAAGAATAAAGAAGAATTTATTATAGGTATAAAATCAGAAATGGTATATCGTTTTCGAGTTATTCCAGTAACGCGCCGTGGTCTACCATCTGATGTGTACTTAAAATCAAATTCAAATTTCACTTTTATTGGCCATATGGTGGAGCCTGTAAACAAAAATTTTCATTCCGATATTGAGTCTTTACCTATTGATATCGAACAGGTTATAACCGTATTTATATTCTCATCTGGCTAATTCGATTCAATTTTGACTTATATTCGAGATTTTTTTTTCCAAATTTAAGAAAAATAAAAAAGTATCTCTTTTATGTGATGATATTCTATTCTTTTTTAAAAACTTTCTTGTACCCTAAATTAGTGGAGACGATCTCGCATTCTTTTTTCTCATCTTTTTTTTTTTTTTAAATCAATTATTTCTTTCTCATTATTATCTTTTTTTTTTTTTTTTCAGGTTGACACATCAATCGTCATTCACTGGGATGTAGCACATAAAATTTCAAATTTCACTTCACAAGATACAAAAAATCAAGCAGTTCTTATCCGTTATGCTCGTTCTGATGTAATACCGTTAAGAGAAAAAGCAGAAGAAGGATTATTCATCAATGGCGCTATGAATTTAACTGAAAATTTTGATACAGTAAACATTTTCATCTTTCTCCTTCCTTTTTTCCTTTCCTACTTATTGTGCAAATTACTGCTTAATTAAAATTCTTTTCAGTAAAGTTTAACTCGAGAGTGAAAAAAGAAATGTGCATGTATAGAAATAGCATAGTAAATACTCAGTGATGGATTTTTATTATGATGAATGATTGCCCTGAGAAACGAATAGCTAATAGAAATTAGGAAATTCTTTTTAATAGCAATAGAAAATAAAATTCTTTTTTGTTCTTCAAAGGTATTAATTTTTGGGCAAAACTATATAAAATTAAGAGCTATATATTTTCTAGTGCAATGCTTTAATTACATTTTGCAGTTTAATTAATATTACAGTGGATTTCATTTGATTGCATTAAAATTGCTTTCCCAGATACTCTATGCTATTTGTAATGTTTTTTTTTGAATTCATAGTTAAATTTTTAAATAATACCAATGAATTGTTAACAGTTTCAGTCACGAACATATCAATTTTGTAGTCGTCTATATGATGGTCTTTTTTATGGTCCTGATTTTTGTCGCATATATCGTTTATCATCAACAGTGTTTGTTGATATATTTAATAGTCGTTCGGGTACTAGTGGTCTACCGAGAGCAGTATTATGCCATCATCGTAAGTTTAATGATAATGTTGATAACGGTAGAGTTATTTACTACATAATCTTCAATGCAAAATTATGCTAATATCTTAAGTAATATAATATATTAATAAATTTATTGTTTGAAGCATATCCAATTCCTGAATGATATATACACTTCAAAATATGAATTTAATTAAAATAATGTTAATTTTCAAAAGAAGGAAAAGAAAGATGCCGTTGTGAGCCATCATACGAATTCGGTGATGCAATGCGTGTAACATGGGATTGGCCAGTAGACGATCATAGTGCTGATGAATTCGTTGTGCATTATACGTTGAGTGATAGTATTTTATCTGAAGATGACAGATTAGTTATTACGTAAGTTCATTCTTATTTTTTTATTCAAATAAGTAAAAACTAGACGATAAAATTTATATTATGATTTTATTGATAAAAGCATAATAGAGATAGTTTTATAGATTCAAAGCTGCTTTAAATTGCATTTATAATTTTAAAAGTTATTTGATGATTAGTAAGAAATGTTTGTTTAATGAAACATAATAAAAAAAAAAAGTTTACAATATTACAGGGATGAAGCGTTCGCAGATTTACCAAGTCTTCGATCGAATACAACATATCGAATAATGATAGAACCTAGGAATAAAATGGGTGGTGTTGAAGGTTCTTGGTTCAACTGTACTACTCCTATTCGTAAGTTATTTTGATATCAATTTAAATTAGTCATAAAGATTAATGATAAATTAAAAGATTTTAAAAAAAATTTTTTTTTTTTTTTTTTTTTTTTTGGGCAAAGTATTTGCTATTCATAGCATATTGCAGTAGGACAAATTCCTGCACCATCAGGATTATTGTATGAGGAATTGAATGCAACAGCTGTCCGAGTATCTTGGAATCCAATTCATCCAAATCCACGTTGGAGTACACCTGTGGGTTACGTGATACAGGTCCAGTCATCATCAACTTCTGTGGCATCTGTAAAAGATATCATTGGTATCTATTTGTTTCTTTTTCTAACTTTATCATGTACTGATATTATTATTGTATTGATTTTGTGATTGCATGAAATATATGTCTTAATTATTATATAAGTTAGATGAGTGAACGGGTAGATATAGTAGGTAATGCTAAATTTTTTTTTTTTTTTATTAATAAACATTTTCAGTTGATGGAATCAGTACAACAAGCTGTATTATAACACTACAACCTAATATGTTGTACACATTTCAAGTGGCAGCACGTTCAAGTACCGGTGATTTGGGGCAACGTTCCTCTCCGTATTTGTTTGCACCATCGCAGATCAGTAAACCTGGTAGAATAGATGTTAAAAGACCAAAGATATTGCCAAAATCAAGTCGAGAAGGGATTTTAATTTTGATTGTTTTAATAGTGGGTTTGCTGACATTGTGTTTCGGTGGTATCTGCGCTCATCTAAGGTTTTTTTTTTTTTCTTCTTTAGAGGTTTTTGAAAAAATGAGAAGTACTTTCCTTTAAAATTTTCGCAATACTTAAGTTATTCAATCAGAGTAGGAATTTCCCGACTCACTTATGTCTACATTTCATCGCGTAGTGGAAGTTTTCTTAGTTTAATTTAAGAAACGAAGTTTAAAATAATTAAAACATTGATAATTTTCTGTATTTGTATTAAAATTTGAATCTAATACATACAGTAGAGTAGGTTGTGTTAAGAAATTTTACGATGATTTGAGGAATGTGATAATATACGTAAGATATGTCATCCCTTATGTTAAATGATCCTATATATTTGTAGATTAAAACGGCGCAAACTTGAAATGAATATCAGTACAAATACAGCTAATAGAGGAACAAATACATCACGCACTAATATTACAAATGTAAGGCATTTTTTTTTTCTTTTTTTTATATATGTTAAAGTATTATTATTCCATTATTCCCAGCAAAAAAAAAAAAAAAAAAAATTTTTTCCGGAATTATTCTTAATTTAAGTCAATTTAAGGTTATTATATCATAGTTTAAAATTTGTTTAGTTACATTCTATCAAATGTTTATTTCGTTCTTGTTTAATGTTATTATCGTTACCGTAGCTACCAGAAAAAGTTGTGCATTTTTGACATAATGAATAAAAAATGCCAAAAGACATTTTTAAAAAAGACAATGAAAATATTAATTTGTTCCATATCAAAAATAAAAGGATCCTAAAATATCAAAGTTGATGAAGGAAGAAAACAAGTGCTCATTTATTTGATATATTATAATTGGATTGTTTTATTTCTTGCAGTATGAAATGGAATCATTGATTACACGACGACGAAGTGATTTAGTTGGTAACTCAGCAAGGAGTACCCTGAATGATCCGTTGATGCATAATCAGTTGAATGCGCGAAATAATCTATTAAATGAAGCAGAAGCAGTTTATTTGGATACAAAAGGTGGTGAACAAGGTGCTTTGCCAAGTGGTCAAGATAAATATCTGAAGTAAGGCATTTGGTGGTTTATATGAGAATTTGACATCAAAATTCTGACCTTTTTTCTGGTGAGCATTGCTTTTTTTTTTTATTGGAAATTTGATCTCAGGATCACTGAAAATTTGATGATATTTTGTCATAAACATTAATTTAGTGATAATGCCGCTTATCAAAATTCATATTATAGATCACCAGCTGATAAATTTATTTCTATGATTTTTTTTTTTTTTTTTTGCAATTTGATAGGCTTTTTAACGTCTCTTCTTTTTTGTTCATAAAAAAACTTATTCTTAGATTGTTAAATGATAAGAAGCAGTTGCATCGATTCAAGGAGTGCTTCTTGTTTAATGGTTTATCAGATGAATCAACCGTTAAGGTTTGCCTTCAAATATATTTTTCATGCATGTATTTGCATGCAAATATTATAATTAAATTAATATGCACGCTTCATTAGATGTTGCTAATGAATTTGTGTTTTATTGCCATTCGCCTGTCACCAGAGTTGCGGGGTCAGTCGTTTCTGCAGGTCACGTGGTAGCATTGAAGCATTGTTTACTCTGGAATCTCTTGGATGAAGCTAAACGGTGCACCTTATTATTCTTTACTCCATCTGTGGATTGAAGTTCGGTTGATTAAGGGGTACAGTACTTCCTCGACATCATGAGGACAAGGTTTGCTTAAAGCTAAGTCACGTCATGCTTACTTATTGCTGTTGCTTGATAAAATCAATTGCCGTAGGTTGGTATCTTAGGATAATATAAATGCCATTAAAAAAAAAAAAAAAAGGAGAGAGCCACAAAACAGGTATTATCAACATTGCATGTGTGTTTTTATTTATTTATTTATTTTTTTTTTTTTCAGAGCCAAATATCTTGCAGAAAAAAGGCGAGAAATATAAGCCAACGAAATGAGCCACTTGCAACAATAGTAAAAAGATCAAATTACAAATTGTTAAATTCGAAATGGATGCAAACAGCTTGTGATACTGCTGATCAATGGACTGGAAGTTTACCATCTAAAAAACGAATGTAAGAAAATAGTTATTTCTCTGGTTGTACAATTCATTCCATATTCATCATTCTCTCCTATCATTTTCTTTTTTTAATAGATTCATAGTTTATTTTTATGATCCATGGTCGATTTATTTACTTGTTTTTATTTTTCCAGATTAGGACTAAATTCTGCATCAACAAAGACATGCTACCTAATGGCAGGTCGTATGTCAGTGAGTAATTTTGAGATTGGCATTATGATGCCACGTTTTTTGTCGAAATTAGCTGTTTTATCAGATATTACACGAAGAAGTACAACAAGTAATATGGAATCATTGAATGAAGCAACTTCTTATAGCAGTATTATTTGTCCACGGTCAACTTCGGTACAGTCACTTTATCAGGTATTATTTGCTAAGTTTATCACTTTTTTTTTTTGTTTAGTATTTTATGCAAAAGCATTTCTGATAATCTTTCTGTTAAGTCAACTAAGTTGGTCCATATCTCTATCGAATATAAAAAGTTGTGATCATTAGATGTTGAATTTATTTGAATTATAGAAAGCTTTGTTAGTTATAAAGAATGACGAGTAGATTGATATGCATTTTTCGGACATGTTCTTGAACTTTTATTATTGAATGTTCATTTTCACAGTTTGTTTGAAACTTTAGCAGAATGGTTTTATCAAACGAAAAAATGATAGTGTAAAGACAAGTGTTCCTGTCACAACTAATAATTGTATGAATTATCCATGCAATACTCCTTCCAGTCAATCATTGTAAGCATAAATTTTTCAATTTTCAAATAAATGGATATATTAGCATCTTTATAATGAGTCTAAATTATGAATATCGTAAATAATTTTTTACTAGCAGAAGTTATTGTTTAAAACTAATTTTATTTATCATCCAGATTTTATGCCAATTATATAATTCTAGTAAGTGTAGGTAAATGAGAAGAAATGAATGGGATTTTTTACGTTTATTTACTTTTAATTCATTTTATGTATTATTTTTGCGTATAAAAAATTTTTCAGAACTTGGTACGATGCTGGATCAGTTGAAAATGATGGCATTATACGGCTACCTCCTCGTGATGCACCTAAACTATACGGTAATAGCAACAAGGAAACAATGATGTTTTGTTGTTCGATGCCGAATCTAACCGATTCCGGAATTGTTTATGATGAAATGCATTTTCCTCGTCCACCTCCTCATTCACCTCCACCGTTGGATAATAAGCATTTGGAAAGATAATCAATGAATCAGTCAATCAATCAATCAATCAATTATCACTCTATCTATACAACACCTCCTCCTGTATTATTATTTATCCTCAGGAATATAATCCCTTAAGCATACTACTTTTCAGGTATCATCAAATTACTGTTTCATTCCTGTAACATTCATTTTATTTATTTATTTTTTGTTTAAATATCATTTTATATTGATATTTATTAATTAGAAACTCAATTTACTATCCAAATAGATGTTTTGATAAGAGAAGATTGAAAAAGGGATCTATCTCTGTGGAATTATTAGGGATTTTTTTTTTTTTTTTTCTATGTCTCTTTTTTTGCTGATGTGAATTTATCCGCTTACTCTGTTGCTCTACCTCAGTGATAGTTTTCATGAAGATTTCAAGTGTCATCAAAAGGTCATACTGCCAATTTATTCCATCAGAGTTTATATTGATACATTCATGTATCAATATATATATATATATATATATATATATATGTATGTGTATGTATGTCTGTCCCTCTGTCAATTTCTTTGTTTTTCTGTCTATATACATATGCAGAACTGTATAATTATGTAATTATATTTGTGTAGTTAGATTTGCTTGATCATGATGATATGATAAAGTAGAGACGATTTGGAAAGCTTTAAAATTTTTGGATAATTTAAAAAAAAAAAAAGAGGACAAATTATACGAATTAAGAAATTAAGATCTCTTTTTCCCTCTCTCTCTCCCTCCCTCACTCCCTCCCTTTCTCTCTTACAAGAAAGAAAAAAGCGAAAGAAAGAGAAAGAGAAAAGAGCAGATCATAATAAAAGAAATATAAATATAAATATTGATGAGAGGAAATTTCAAATAAATGATAAAAGAAATTATTGTGCTAAAATTATATGCTATTAGTTTTATTAGTTCAAAAAATTTTTTATAATTTTAAATTTATTCCTTCTTTTTTTTTTCGAATAATTTAATTTGTGCATGCATAGTTGTTAATCATAGCTTCCTCATTATTTGATTTCATTACATGCACTGTATTATCATTAATAGCTATTGCAAATTGTTAGATTATTTTAAAAAAAAGAATTTTTTTTTTTTTTTAAATCTTTTCAATCTGCCTCATTTACTGAATCTGATCCTTTTATTCCTTTATGTATATTTCTGGCCATCACTCAGCAACAAAACTTTTTTCTAGCTCTCTCAAGCAAACACTTTCATTTTTATTTTTAATATTTTTTCTTTTCAATTTTATTTCTATCTTTATGATAACTACTACTTTGGATATATTTTAAATGTATAGCATGATATTTCATTATCATACATGTATATCTAATTTTAAATTTAAATTCATGATAATCTTTTATCACAATCATCATGTTGTATATATGTATAATGTATATTTTCATTCTATCTCCTTGCTAAATCTGATCCTTTTATTCCTTCTTTTATTTTTATCTAACAAAATTAATGTTCCTTTTTTTTTTTGCCATTATTTTATCCAACAAATTAATCATTAATTACAGATCACTTTGAAATGAAAAAAAAAAAAAAAAAAAGCATTACTAAAGGGCATTTCTTGATCTGATCAGATGAAATGCTAAAGGTTTGGCTTTTTTTTTTTTCTTGTCAAGAAGTTAATTTTAAATTTCAGTAGTTTGTTTAATGATAAAGGTTGGATTTTTTCAAAAAATAAGTGAACTATTATACTTAATTTTTATGTTATTACTGTTAAAATTTGATTTGTCTCTTTCTGTATTATACGCTTTCTTATTGATCATCCACTTAACTAAATATATATATATTTGTTATACATTTAACATTTTGAAGATTTAAAATTAGGAAATAATGTGATAGGATAATAATGTATGCATCGTTTTCTAAGCAAGTAAGAAAGTTGAGGAGAGCATAGGAAATTTTTATTTCACTTTTTTGTTTCTTGTTTTACAACTCCGTTTTTTTTTTTTCTCTGTAATTTAAAAGTTTTAAATTGTTATAAATGTTCCATAAAAATTTTGCATACTTAAATTAAATTGATTTGACGTTTGTTATTTTAGAGACTTTCAAGCGATGTATTTGTTATTTCCGATTTAAGATTTTTAAGTTATTTCCTATGATACCTCTTTTATATCTTTTACAAAAAAAAAAAAAAAAGAAAGAAAAAGTGAAAAAAAAAAGTTTCCATAAAACTTTACTTAGTATACAATTATGAAAGATTTATTTATTTCATAAAATTAAATTTGGTTTTTTAAAATCTGAATTATGCTAACAATTTTAGTACTGTTGGTACCATAAATTATTGTTTGGTCAGTGTACACATGTTTTATCTCATACTTCTCATTCCATCAGAATTTTTCTACTTCAACAGATGATTAAAAATTTTTGAAAAAAAAAAAAAAAAAAAATGAAAGATGGGACGAAGAAGAGATTATATATACATATAGATGAAATGAAGTCTGATGTTATATTTTTCTTTTTTTTTTTTTCAAAATATTTTATCTATTAAATTTATCATTATTCTCTAAACTGTAAATTGCTTATTTTGCTTATCATTGATTATCGCATACAGATAATATATAAATGTGATTAATAGGGATTACTTTTTGATACTTTTTTTTTTTTAGATTTATTTATTTAGAAATCAGTCTCATTTTATAATGAAAATTTAAAAAAAAAAAAGAGGAAAAAAAGCGATAAATTATCGTTTGTTTATATACTCATTTAAATATTATCTTCAAGACAAAAATTTTCTAGTATGTATATTAATAATTGTTATCTTTTATAAAAATCTTGGATAATTTTTAAATTATCATTTTTTTTTTTTTTTTGAGATAATTGAAATTTAATATATTCTGGTATTGCAATTATTCACGATATTTAACATACATGTATCTATTTGTTGCTTTTCTCTCTCTCTCTCCCCTCTCCCTCTCTCTCTCTCTCTTTGTATTATAGTTTTATATGTATATATACATATAATAATTTATTTATAATATGCATGTATACATATTATGTATTATAATTTTTGTTTTTGCTTTTGTTTTGTTTGATTTTGCTCCAAATAAAATTACACCTCAATTTAATGGATAAAAAAAAAAAAAAGAAAGAAAGAAATGGTTTAGTTTTTATAAGAGTAATTATAGACAAATATTTTTATAGATAAATTAATTTTGAGAAAATTTGCTTTGAACTATTCTAACTTACTCATTTGCATTAGTTATGATTGGATTAAAAATTTGTGGAAGTTATGTTCACTTGTAATAATGATAATGATAATAACAATAATAATAATAATAAATAGTTAATAAATAATAATAATTAAAAGTGGCATATTTAATTTTCAAAGGAATAAAATTTGAAAAAGAAAAGATGCAATATAATTATCATGTCATATCATATAACAACGTTTATGTGTATGGGTGATGTGAGGATTAGTTGTCAAAGAATTAGATGATAATTTCATTGATATATGCATAGAGAAGTACTGATTATATCATGTGAATTGCTGATAAGATTAAGTGATAGTTAGATGTAAGAGTGATAGGAAATATGAAAGTTAATTTATGAAGAAGAAATTCTTTTTATTAGTTGAAATAATTTAATAACCAAAGAAGTATCTCAATATTTATGCCATATGCCTTTTAATTGTTTATTTTGATTTTGTCAATAAACAAATCAACACCACTTCTATTTATTTATTTATTACATTCATTGTGATGATTTAATGATATCAGTTAAAAACTAATAATTGATATCATTTCTTGGCAGTCTGACAGTGCCTCTTTCACTGATATTATTGAATTTGTTATCAATTGATATAATTGATACTAACAGTGAAGAGAATGGTTAGTATATTTATTGGTTGATAGAGTAAATTGGGAGAATTTTGCAGAAGAAATTGTATTAAATTTACCAATTTCATGTTAATACATTCAATGATAATTGATGATATATGAGAATTTTATATTTTTTTTTTTTTGAATGAAATTAAAATAATGGAATGAATGAATGAATGAAAATCATTCAAAATATTTTTCAAAATATGAATTAATAAATTATCCATAAATTCTTTGAATAGTTCATCATCAATTGTTGTAATCAATTTCGTAGCATACCTCTCATTCGTAATCTGAAATATTTCTCAAATTCTATATATTTCATTCTAAATTAAGTCATAAAAAAATTTTTCTAAATAATTTAAATCATATGTTGGGAAGTTTTTTCTTGTTTTTTTTTTTTTGTTTTTTTCACATACGGTTTACATAACTTTGACTGAAGTATTTACTGAGTTAAGCTAATTAATTGTTTTAAAAAAAATGATATAGAAAGTAGAGGAAATATTTCATAGAAATTTTTAAAAACTATCAAAGATATAATATTATTTCTGTAAGGATAGAATAATTTTTTAAAATTTTTTAACTTTTTCCTTTTTTTTTTTTTTGAGCAGTGAAATTTCATCATTTTAATTTACAATCTTTTATTGCACCTAAGGTGCTACCATATATAAAAACGTATAAAAAAAACAAAAGGAAGCATATGCTTACTAATAATAACACACACATACACACAACACTATGACAACAAACTAACAGTTTTGCAAAATAATAAAAATAAAAAAGAAAAGAAAAGAAAAAAGTGGAAAATAAAAATATTGTAGAAACAATTACTAAAAAGAGATGCTTAAATTTGATGAGGCAATTCAAGCAATGAAATAGTAAAAGTTTGAAATTAAGGTAAAGAAAAAATTAATAAATTTAAATATACCAAAATACTATTATAATAATAAACATTAAAAGAAACAATTATCACCACGATACACAAATAAATTTACTGTGTGCAATATAAAACATTTAAATGTTAAGAAAAAGATAGGTAAAAAAAAAAGTTGGATGAAAAAAAAAAAGAGAAGGAAGAAAGAAAAAGTAGAATTATACCATAAATGAAGTAATGATAATATAAACTACCACGAAAAATAAAAAAAAAAAAAAAGAAGGAATATAGAGGTATAATTTAAAAATTTATAACGAATCATAAATATGATTGCTTCATCAATAACAGCTTATTTATCAAATTATCAGTAAATACTAGACGATATCAGTTAAATACTAGAAGTGTATGTCTAAAATAGTTATTAAAAAATAATAATAAAATACTAAACTACAATGAAAAATTGATTTATTCATTTTTCAATTTAAGACAAAAAAAAAAAACCATTTTCCAAAAGTATCAATCAAATTAAAGCAAATAATGTAAGTTAAAAAAAAATTTTTTTTCTTTGCCTTTTGTTTTAAATTAAAACATATTAGAAAATTTTCTTTTTTTTTAAATTCATAATTAATACTCTCAAATAAAATATATTTTAAAAAGAAAAATTTTCATATATCATAGAAAAAAATCCCGTATATCTAAAAAAAAATATATATATGTACCAACTTAAGCTAAATTTTATGAAGAAAAAAAAAAAATAAAATGAAAGAATATTAATGTTAAATTCCGCCTCCTGAGCGTAACACTGACACTGGCATTGGTTCAAATTCATCCAAATATCGTGCTAAACGATTTTGTGCTATTTGTCCACCTTTCAAACCACTATATAACTGAAATAATTATAAACTGCATTGAAAAGAAAACAAAAAATAGGAAAATAATTTATCTAACAAAAATCAATTTTATTCTCATTAAACTAATTTTTATTTATGATCGTTAACTTGCTATATTATTGATAATTACTAAAATAATAATTAGCATATATGTTAAAATGCATTAAATGATTATTGAATTTGAAATGAATAAATAAGCATTAAAAAAAAAATGGAAAAAAGTAAAATATATTGGATAATTCAAATGATTGAGCTAAAATTTTTACATAATAATAATAATTGATCAAAAAAAAAAAAAAACGAGCTTACTTGGAAAAATTCATTAAGATCAATCTCTCCATTTTTATTCAAGTCAACTTCATTGAGTAATTCATGAAGTAAACTTTCATCTATTTTACTATCATGTTTCTATAAAAAAAGAAAAAAGAAAAGCTAAACTGAGTCATAACAAATGAAAAGAATTTTAGAAAATTTGCAATAACTTAAAGTTGATAATATTTTCTTAACTTATCTATTTTTTTTAAAAAAAAAAATTCATTTGCATAATTAAATTTGTTTAAAAATACTAGCATTTTATCAAACAATAGCATATAATAAATTAGAAATGTAAATTAGAGTATAAAATTATTACTTGAAAATGACGTCTAAGATCATTTAATGTTATATGTCCTTTATTTTCCTTATCTAACGTTCGGAAGCGTTCACGTGCTGCTTGCATTTCTTCTGCTGTTAAACTTAATGGTACCGTAGAAAGTGAATGTTCACGAGCATTTTGACCCATTTCAACCTCAATAAATTCTCGAGCCATATTCAATTGATTCTGAAACAGAGTACTACGTGAAATATACAGGCAGATAATTATTTTATGATACTGTTAAAAATTTAATAAATTTAACAATTAATTCGTTTAATGCATTTATCAAATTTCCAATAACACATAATCTGTCAAATATATCAAATGTAATCGATTAATTTTATATGTAATAAGTAATAATTGTAGTAAGAATTTCATATCAAAGAAGAAAAAAAAAAGTTTAATAAATTATTCGTTTAATGATCGTTTAAATGATATGATATTATCTATTACAAAAAAGTTGGCAAAGTTTTTTTTTTTTTTTTTTTTGTTATTATCCAAGAAATTTGAAATATATATATTTCAATATATTTAATATATAACATGATTTATTACTTGTCAATGCTAAATTAAACTTTTCAAAAAATTTAAAAATTTCAAAAAAATTAAAAAGAAAAAAAATATTATCAAAAAAAAAAATATATATATGTACCTTTTTCTCTGCTGCTGACCAATTTAATTCTTTACCCATTATATCAACCACTTTATCAAGTACTTCATATGCTGCATATGTATTTAGAAATGCTAAACGTAAACGACGTGCAATTACATCAATAGCAGTACATGCATATTCTTTCACGGCATATTCCACCTGTAATGCTATCTTTTTTTTTTTTTTAAGAAATCCAAAATAATAGCTAACTAATAAATAAAATTGACTTAAATAAAATTCAAATAAATAATAATAAATAAAATCAAATAAAATTGACTTAATAATAGCTAATAATATGAGAAAGCTCACGGACAACAATATTCTTAAAATAATTCTATAACAACAAAAAAAAAAAGTAATAAATAACTAATAATTGAAAGGATAAATGTTGTACAAAGAAGTTTTTAAACAATAAAACCTCAGCTTCAATATAAGGAAATTCTGAATGCAATCGATGTCCAATAATTGGCCATCGTTTTCCGGTAATTTTTGACATTCTAGCAACTGCAAATGCTTTATCACCATATGTTGAAGCTAAATGTCGTGCAACCTGAAATTTACTTTCAAAATAATCAATCAAATTAATTATATAACATAATAAAAAAAAATTTTTTCATACTTTATCTTTTCTAAACAATTAAATACTACAGTAAAACTAAAAAAAAAAAAAATTAGCAAAAATTTTCTTTGAAAAAAAAAAAAAAAAAATATACATCTTCATCGACACCATAATCCTGCACAAGACGAATATGTAATAATGGATCCCAGTTATGTGCTCCCTCAAGTAATAATCCAGCTGTAACACATTTTCGTATTGGTTGTAAATTTGCAACTTCAATCACTTTATCCACTGTTTCTTCAGCCATATGCCTATATGTTGTCCATTTTCCGCCTAAAATGCAAAAAAAAGAGGAAGGAAAGATGAATTAAAATTTAAAAATTAATCTATCAAAGAATTATTAATAAAAATGATGCTAAATTTCATTTTCAAATTTCAACAATAGTATGCAATTATTTATCAAGATAAATAATGATGAAAAATTTCAAACCTGCAATTGTTACTAATCCACTTTTTGAAACTTCAATGACATGATTACGTGCCAATGATTTTGTATCTTTTTTATTAGGATCTCTTACTAATGGCCTTAAACCTGACCATGCACTCATTACATCACCTCTGCGAACTGAAAATACACTTACTTTCAGCAGTTAAAATTTGCGAAATATCTAAAAAAAAGTAAAACTAAAAAAAATCTAAAAAATCTAAAAAAAAAAAAAAAAAAAAAGAAATCTAAAAAGTAAAACTTAATTAAAATAAAATTTTGAAAAATTATTACCTGTAACATCACTTGAAAGATAATTTCTTATTTCTCGAAGAATAAATTCAATGTCAACATCATTTGGTGATGGATGAAAAGTAAGCGATACTGGTGCATCTGTTGTTCCGGCTACAGTCATACGTTGCCATGGAAGGAAGAATATTACACGGCCATCACTTGTCGAAGGATCAAGTAATCCTGTTGATGATGGACTAAAATTTTGATTAATAATATTTCATTTAAATTATTAAGTAAAAATTATATATTATATTTAATTTTTAACTATATAATTATATATTACCTATAGTATATAATTTAAAAAAAACGTTGAAAGTAATAATGATGGTACCAATAGATGGAATCAGCGAATGATGGAGAAAAAAGTACTTGATGAAATTATTGAAAATAATAAATTTTGCTCAGATGACTTTAGATAATTAATTTATAATGATTTTAAAGCCAATTAACCTGTAATATCCAGGAAGTACAATATGAACACCAGCTGATGGTTGACATATTGGTGTAGTATCTGGATCGGCCATCAAACGAATTGAATCAGTAAATGGACCGGTAGCATTTACTACAGCTTTAGCTTCAACATCCCATTCTTCACCAGTTAACTAAAAATGAAATTGATTTAAATTTTCTTTTTTATCTCTTTTATTTTTTAAATTTGTCTGTATCAATTTTTTCACCAAATGCAATAATTATAAGACATCTTCACATACCATAAATTGTGCAAATTGAAAAAAAAAAAAAAAAAAAGAAAGAAAAAGAAAAAATCCAAGAAATGATTTTTCTTTTATGTATTTATTTAGTACTAATATTTTTATCGGTTAATTTAAATTCATATTCGAGTTAAACATTTCGCCTTATATTAATTGGACAATGCCGATTAAATAAATATGCAAAACTTTAACTTACAGTATCAGTAACGTGAGCACCGCATACTATACCTTCTGTATTTTTTAGTAATTTGCTAACTTTAACATGATTTACGGCTTTTGCACCATGACGTATTGCGGATAAAATTATTGCGATATTCATTCGAGAATCATTATGTTGACCTGAAATGATAAAAATTGATAGTTTAATTGAAAATTTTATCAGCTAATTGAACTATCGATTTCTTTTCTTCCTGCGGATAACAACAATAAAAAGGAATAAGCAAAAAGGTAAAAAAGCTTACCTAAAGCAAAAACATATATCCTAAGTGATAAATAAAAATGAACTACTATATTATTTAGTCACATATGTAATTGTAAAAAATTATTATAAACATTTTATACTTGCTAATTCTACAACAGAATACTAAATATATTTGAATTTAAATTCAAATATATGAATTGAATTTAATTTCAAAAAAAAAAAAAGGAAAATTTTTTAAAATTAAATATTCAACCAACTAACCATCATAATACATCAAAGCACCAACTAATGATTCTTTTTTTAACATCGGAAAAAGTTCCAGTGCTTGTGTCTTATTTATATAATAAGATTTTTTTAACACTCGCCCACCAGAAACAATATCGTACGCTTTTATACCTAACCAATAGTATGGTACTTGCCATAGCCTAAAAATATATATAATAGATGTAAATTATAAAATAGATGCAAAATCATATGATTTTATAATGTCATGATTTAGCTAACTGTAAGCAAAAATAAATTTAAACAATCTGCAATTCATAAACTTTTTAATAAACTGTAAACAAATATATATAGTATAAGAGTCATATATGATACAGCTCTTCGATACATACATCAGAATGATCGATAAAGTAATTGATATATGATACTTTTAAGTAATGATATTTGTAAGCCTAAGTAAGATGTGTACTAGAATGAAATTTAGACTTTATTAATTACTACAAATTTTTGGTTAATTTTATTAAAATACTTCCTTTTTTTTTTCCTTAAATTCTTCACTCTTACAAACAGAATAAATGAGTAAACTAACAAAATGCATTTAAAATTCAACTATATATACATATATATAATATTTTTATTTCATTCTTTTTTCTTTCATTATGTTAACCTAACTAACTTTATAAAAAAACTTATTAATTAGATAAAATAAGTTAAAATGATAAAATGAAATGCTAAAATGATAAAATTATGGAAAAATTACTTATATATAGGTAACATAATTGGTAATGGATATGATAGATGTGGCGCACAATGAATGAGATTAGCACGCTCGAATAAAGCTTCTTTAACCATTCGATATTGTTCAATATCTAAACCAAATATTGCCGCTTGAAGATAACGCACACCGCCATGTATCAATTTTGTACTTCGTGAACTTGTACCACTCGAAAAATCATCCAATTCAACTAAGGCTGTTTTAAGACCTGTAATTTTTTAATATAATAAAAAAAAAATCTAAGAATTAAAATTAATTTTAAATAACATTTCATTTTCATCGAAGCAAAAAAAAAAACTCAATCATTTGAAAATAAATTTAAAACGTATGTGATAATATCAATTAATTTATCTAGAAAATTTTTTTTTTCTAAAATTAAAAAAAAAAACTAATTAAAACTAAAAACTTATAGATAAAATTTATTCATTTTTATTCTCAAATAATAACTCTAACTGTTTACATATTATCATTTAAATTATATTCATCGTAATGTATATTAAAAATTGATAAATAAAGTAAATAATGATGAATATTTAAAATTTAAGAATAAAATAAACTAATATATTAAGTAATCTAGCTCACCTCTTAACTTCCTTGGAATTTCCCATTATTCTATCCAAAAAAAAAAAAAAAAAAAAAAAGAAAAAGAAAAATGATAACAAAATGGATTACATAACATCGTTTTTCGAAAGTTAACATTTAAATATAAACTTAGTAAAAGTTTTCAAACATTTAAATTTAAACGTCTTTTCTTCTTGAAAAAAAAAAAAAAAACTCCAATAAATTAGTTTTATTTTTTAAAATCTATTTACCTACAAACTGATTTATTTATTCATACCTCGAGTTTGTGCATCCAAAGCAACACCGGCACCAGTAGCACCACCACCAATTACTAAGACATCGAATTTATCACTTTTAAGTGACTAAACAAATAAAATTTTGATTTTTTTTTTTTTCATTTGTAAATATAATATTTTTTAAAAAATTCAATAAAAAAAATAGCTGAGTCACAAATTTGAAACATTTGCTACTATAATTATATATGCAACATTAACAATAAGTAGTACCATATAAAAGTGTAAGAAAAAAAAAAAAAAAATTGAACGACTTTTGACAATAATAAAATTTATGTTTTATTTCAGAAAAGAAAAAAAAAAAAAAAAACTCCACTACATTTTTGGCTTATTTTGATGTGTTAATGACTAAAACTTACGCTAATTAAATCTTTTCGTGTAGGCAATTGCCCAGAAATTCGTTTGTTAAGTTGGCCGTGAATATCACTATTATCTGCCTACAATGAATATTACCATTAAAATAGAAATAAATAAAATTAAATTTGAAAAATTAAAAACATTTTAAAAACTATTAGATTAAATAAGCATATAATGTCATTATTGAATGGTTAATTTTTATTATTATTATTATTATTATTATATGATTAATTCAAATTTTAATGAATAAAAAAATTTAATCATTTAAAAAAAAAAATTGGTTGAATGGAAAAATGAAAAAATTAATTTTTTTTTTTTTTTATAGAAATTAAATTTTTAACAAATTGTCAAAAATAGGTGTCTTTTCTTTCGCCTTTTTTAAAATAATTTACCAAAACTGTACGAAAACGTGTTGAACCATTTAAATCAATTTTTAATAGTGAAAATGCTGCGGTAATTGCTACACCACTACCACCAATAATTAGCAAACGTCGTAGATTAGTAGAAGAAAATATTTTATTATACCATGATACCATTACGTTATTCTAATAATGGAACAATTATAATTGCTCCAAATCTGAAAAAAAATAAAAAATAGTAATTTAAAAATTAAAATTTCTTTTTGAAATAAATTTTGCATAAATATTTAAGAAAAAAAAAAAAAAAGGAAAAAGATTAGATAATATCATAAATAGACTTCTAGCTATAATATGAATAGGATGAGTTCATAAAAAATTATTTAATTATAATTTGAAAAATTTTAATTTGTGTGATATTAAATAATTTTCAATTTTAATTTATCATAACATTTCAATTTTTTCCAAAAATATTACAAATTTCAATGATAAAAGTTAATTTAATAAGTGTTTTTTTTTTTTGTTTACAAAATGAGTAAATTCCGAATATCTAACAATATAATATTGTAAAAAAAAAATCACAAATCGTATGTAATAATAATTTCAATTGTTTGTAAATATAAATTTCAGAAAAAAAAAACTAATTACAAAATATCAAAAAAAAAAAAATCACAAATTACACACTCATAAATAATTTTTGAGAAAAACTAAAATGTAATTTTAGAATAATAATTGAAAATTTAATAATTTAATTATTACATATATAATTTAACAGAATGAAAATTTTCATACATATTTTTTTTTTTTCAATTCCAAACTAATACATTTATAAATGATTCATTCATTGCAAATATGAATCATTTAAAAATTATAAGCATTCAATTAATTATTATGTCAGTATTTAAACATTGTTAAAATTAAAATTAAAATTAAAATCAAAAAAAAAAAAAGTATAAAGTTTCTAGCATTATTTATTGAACATACAATTTTCGTAATTGTTTATCGATTATAAAACTACTGATTAAAATCAAAAATCAAAAAAAAATTAGATATTAACAATCAATGCAGAAGTAGAAAAGAAAGAAAGAATAGAGAATGAAAGAAGAGGAAAGAAGAAAGAAAAATAAATGAAGGAAGAGAAAACTTATCAATCAAAATTGAAAAATTTTCTCTGTTCTTTTTTTTTCAATAATTATTGTTAATTAGTAGTTTAATTATGATTATTTAATTATTATCATAGTTTAATTATTATTTTAGTTTAGGAATTACAGTTTTATTATTAATATTATTTGTTAATTTTCACACAATTAAAATAGTAATTAATATTTCATTATGTTATGAATTATTGTTATATTTTATGATCGAATTTATACTATGAAAGGTAAATGATAGTAATTTGTTCATTATTTATTATTTGCTTTGTAATTTTTAATCTTTTAAAAACATTTGGAATTAAAAAAAAAACCGAAAATTAAAATAATCAATTAATGAAAGAATTAATTTAATAAAAATTATGCTTCTTGAAAAGCTGAAATTAGAAAATAGTGGCATATTAAAAGAAAAAAAAAAAAGAATTTAAAACATATGTGATTTCAAAATAATAAAAATATTAAAAAAAAAAAATGAAGTGCTGGAAAAAAAAAAGAAAACCAAAATATTGAAAAAACGAAAATATTTTTTGAAAAGGAAAAAAAAGAAAACACTAAAATATTTCCAAAATAAATAAAAAAATGTAAACAATAACAAAATATTTTGAAAATTTACGTAATAAAGGCAGCTAAAATTACACATTTTGGAAAATAAAGGAAAAAAACAAAACAAAAAATAAAAAATAAAATTGGAAAGTAAAAAAAAAAAAATTGTTGAAAAAATTGTAGTAAATATAAGGTAATAAAAACATAAAAATCACGAAATAGTGCAGAGATAATTAATTTTACTCTAAGCAATAAAATATTGAAATTGCATAGAATATTGGAAAAAAAAAATATACGGAGAGGGAGAGAGGGAGAGAGAGAGAGAGAGAGGGACAGAGAGAGAATCAATTTAACAATAAAGCAGTTTTAATAATATTGCCATAAACTACGAAATTTGCCGAGGAGTAAAAAAAATGAAAAATACAATTTATCAGTTATTTTATTAGTTAATTAATTGAAGTGAAAAATGTTAAACATTTCGTGTTGCTCATATTTCTTTATATCACTACCTTTCCCTCCTAAAGCATAATGCTATCTCTTTACTATTATCGTCTTTCCCTTCTAAACTAATGCAAGGCTAAGGAACATCTTGCGAAGTCTTTCTCGTCTAAAAAAAAAAAAAAAAAGAAAAAAAAACGATAAAATGGGATAGAATAAATTTGAAGTGATAGAAACCATACATCAAAGTGATGTAAACATCATACAAGCAGAGAGATACACTTCAAAATATTTTGATTCTCACATACTAATTGCATAAGCTTATGTGCATTATGCGCTCACACGTAGATGCCTGTACGTAAATGCGAAAGTTTACGCATACACATTTACAGCTGCATACACACACACACACACATAGACACACACATACATACACACACACATAGACACACACATACATACACACATACACACACACACACATAGACACAGACACGCACGAATACACAGAAACAGCCAGAAATCGTATATGCAACGTTATGCAAGCAGACACACCCAGCACTTAGGACTTATGCAAGCATAGAGACACACGTACGCATGTTTATGTGCACACGTACGAGTATAAATATTTACACTTACGTTTAATGTAACGAATGAGTGTAATAAGTGTAATTTAATGTAACAAATAAGCGAGAAAGTGGAAGATTTTAAAAACTAGATATTAAATTTGAAAATGAAAAATGAAAATATTAGTTTTAGATGAAAAAAAAAAAAGAAAAAAATTATATTTATTAGAAAGTTAACATTTAATTTAAAAATAAATTATGTCAAATACATATAAATGAAATATAAAAAAAATGAAAAAAATTATATTAATTGTTGACAGTTAATTCAAAATTAAATTATATCAAATACATATATAAATGAATTATAAAATACATATTTAATCAGAAATGATTTAAACTATGAAAAATGTGATAAGGAAGAAATTTCATATCATTGTAATGATAAATGTGATAATTTTCTTTTCAGTAACATTCCAATATGTATGAATTAATTTGAGAGGAATGAAATGTTTGTAAAATTTAATATTAAAATATTGCAGTATTTAATTTAAATTTATCAAATAATATGAAAAAAAATTATCTAATCTATCAAATTATGAATTTTAAAATATTAATATTAATGAATGTATTAGAATAATTGATATTATCATTGATATAATTTATGATTAATAAATGATTTATCATAATTAATTAATTTGAACTATCTTATAATGATAACAATATTATAAAGTATTAACATTCTCAATTCTCAAAATCTAAATGAAATAAAAGAATCGAAAAGAGATGAAAAGAAAAGTTTTTATTGCTAAAACAAAAAAAAAAAACGAAGAAATATTGCTCTCATTTTATATATATATTTGAATGTATTGGAAAAAAAGAGAAAAATTTCAAATTTTTGGTTTAAAATTTATTGATTTTATGTGTATTTAAAATGTTTAAAACTTTTAGGGATTAAAAATTAAATGAAAGAAACAATTTATTTATTTATTTATTTCTAAACACAACCATACCTAAATAAAAGTGATTGAAGTTAATGATTATTTTTTCAAATAAAATTATCATTTATAAGAAAAAAATAAGTGAAAAAAAAATGAATAAAAATAATTTAAATAAATAGTAAGAAAATAATATAAATAAAAAAGTTAAATAATATATAAGAATGTCAATAGATAATGAAATGATTCATAAAAAAAAATAATAATAAATTAAATAAAAGAAGTTAAATAATATAATAAATATTAATAATTAATAAAAAATGATTTTTGTTATATAAAATCACATGAAAATAATAAGAGAAGCAGAAATAATTAATAGATTAATAGTAGTAGATAATGATAATAATAAATAAATAAACAAATAAAAAAATAGGTTAATAAATGGATAAAATAATAATAATATAATACTAATAATAATCATAATAATAATAATAATACAATAATAATAATATAATAACAATGTAATAATGATAATAATGATATAATAATAATAATAATAATATAATAATAATAATAATAATATTATTATTAATATTAATTATTAATTATAATTAATATTATTATTATAATAATAATAATAATAATAATAATAATAATAATAATAATAATAGTGATGATGATTATGATATAGTGATGATAGGATGATGAATCATTTATTTCAAATATACAAAGAAAGGGAAAAAGAAAAGAAAAAAAAAAAGGAAAAGGAAAAGATGAGAAATGTTAATAAAAGATAATGAATATTTGCTTTCATTTATTTGATCGTTGACAAAAAGTATAAATTTTCTCTCTTTTTTCTTCCTTTTTCTTTTTTCAATAAAATGAAAGAATGGTTGAATGATTGATTTATCAAATTTAAACATTGATAGAAATATTCTATGTGATAAATATCAAATATTTCTATCATTTTTTCTTTTTTTTTTTTTCAAATTAATTTTTTGTATTTTTTTTTTTTTTTTTTTTGATAGCTTATTTATCATTTTTTTTCTATTTCATTTCATTTCTTTTTATCATTTGTTGCAAAAGAAAAGCGAAAATTTTGAAAAAGGACAAATTTGATTTGATTTAGAATCGTTATCTATTCATTATCAATGCTATATAATCGATCAATCAATCAATCGATCATTTATTATCAGTGGTAGATGTTATCATTTCCATTTTATTTCTAATTTTAGCAAAGCATACTTTTCTTTTCTTTCATTTGAAAAATGAAAGAGAAAAAAAGAAAGAAATTCTTTTTTCTTTTCTTTTTTCATATTTTAATTTTTTTTGTTTTTGTTTGTTTGTTTTTTTTTATCAAATTGTAAACAATATTTTTTTGTTTTTCTTCTCTTTTTTTGTCTGTGTTTATAATTGCACAATTTTTTTTTTTGACATTTATTGTAACATTGATAATTTAAATCTTTTTTTATGTAAAAAGTGAAGAAAATCTTTGATAAATAATCATTATTTCATTTCATTTCACTTTTTTTTGATTATTATTTGTGAAATGAATCCAAAATTAAAATTTTGTGCAAAATTAAATCGATGGATTAAATATTGGTGCAACTAAAAATGAAATACGAAAAATAATAATCTATTAATTAGACAATAAAGATGAGTAACGAGCTTTATGAAATTTAGTAATTTGTAATTTTAATAGTTAAAACAAACATTTAAATAACTTTTTCCATCTTCTTAAAATATTTTCTAAAAAAATTAAACCACTTTTTCTATACAAACTGGATTGACAATATGTTGTGCAATAAATTTTTAATCTTTTTTTTCTTTTTTTTTTTAAACAAACAAGAAAAAGTGAATATGAAAAATGTAAGTATTTCGATATACTTTTTTTAGTTTAATTTGAATGAATTCGTAATTTTTATGCAATTTATTGTCTCAAATTTTACATATTAATTATATTACTCTTTTGTTTGTATTAATTCTCGATTCACTATAATTATTTTAATAAATTTCATTCATTCAAATAAATGAAATTATTTACAGTCCTATGAATACTCCAACAACAATGACAACAACAACAATAAAACCAACAACAATACCAACAACACTACCAACAACACTACCAACAACACCAACAACACTACCAACAACACTACCAACAACACCAACAACACCACCAACAACACTACCAACAACAACAACAACACCAACAACAATACCAACAACACCAACAACACCACCAATAACAACACCAACAACACCACCAACAACACCACCAACAACAACACCAACAACAATACCAACAACACCAACAACACCAACAACACCACCAACAACACTACCAACAACACCAACAACACCACCAACAACACCAACAACACTACCAACAACAACAACAATGACAACAATGACAACGACTACTACTACTACTCAAGGAAAGATAATTCAGTTAAACTGTAATAATGATAACGAAATATTATCATTTACTCATTCCAGTGATAATTATATCCAATCAGTGAATGATAAGGATGTAAATGAAATTGTTAAAAGTAATGAAAGTCAATTTGTTATACTATCAAGAAATTTACAATTATCAGATGATAGTAGCAATACCAAATCTTATCAATTTACTGATAAAATAAATTCATCACATATTGAACCATTAAATATTAATTCATCATATACAATGGAAAAATTGGATGAAAAACGAGAAAATGAAAGAGTATATGAATATTTGTTACGATTAAATGAAGTAAGAAAGTAAGTTCTTTTTTTTTGTTACTAATTTTAAATTTTGATAATTTTTGTAATAGTTTATTAAATTAATTAAAAGATGTAGAAAAAAGTTTTTTTTTTTAATTTTGAAGAATTTAACTTAATAATCTAAGAATATTTAATTTAAATTGTTGAGTGTTTAATTTATTTTAATACAATGTATTATTTTATAATTAATATTGCTATTATTCATTTCAAAAAAAAAAAAAAAAAAAGGAAAAAAAAATAGAAATATTATTAATAAATGTTATTAGGAAGAAATTACCCTTAAAAAATTTTTGATGTTTTGTCCTTTTTTTTTCTTTATTTCATATAAATTTTAATGATTTATGTTAAAAAATTTGCCAATATTTCATTTGCTCATACATATCTAAAAAGATTGTTAAAATAATTTTAAAAATTTGTTGTAACTTTCCTTTTTCTTCAATTCACTACTTTTAATTATTATTTTCCTTTTTATTAATTTTTCTTTTTTCAATTACTTTAACTAATTTGAAATAACTTTTCAATTACTTTAACTAATTTGAAATAACTTTTCAATTACTTTAACTAATTTGAAATAACTTTTCAATTATTTTAACTAATTTAAAATAACTACAAAAATAATTAATTTCAATATATTATAGTTGGTTGAAAGAATGTCTTCAATTAGATAATATTGCAAATGAAATGGAATTTGAGCATAATTTATCCAACGGTGTATTGCTAGCTCGTCTTGCTCATACATTTGCGCCACATATTGTACCGTTGTCAAAAATTTTTGACATTGATCAGGTTATAATTAATTAATTAACTAATTATATTTATTAAAAAAAAATTATAGAATATATTAACAAAATTATATAATTGATCAATTGATTTATCATTTTTTTTTTCCATTTTCTTTCAAAACAAAAAATCTTTTTATTTCTTTTCTTTTTTTTTTTTTTTTTACTTTTATCAGAATAATTATTTGCATAAAATTTTTATTAGTTCAAAATTTTTGAAATTATTTTAAGAATTATAATTTACAAATTTTTAGAATTATTTCAATACAAATGGACAAATTTGCTGTTATCGTCACACTGATAATATTAGTTTATGGAAAGATGCAATAAGAAGTATTCATTTTCCTGAGGTTTTTATTATGCTAATTATTATTTTTAATTTAAATTATTTTTTGAAAACTTTTTATTTATTCTTTTATTTCAATAAAGATTATAATTTGAGTAACTTAATAAGATTATAATTGAGTTCTTTTTTTTTTTTTTTTTTTTTTTTTGTTAGAATAATTATAATAAATTTATATTGAATCTAAAATGCATTAATAATTTATTAGTTATAATTGATTATCATTTCGAATTAGTAATTATTCCATTTGTTATCTATCTAATTATAGCAATTATTGCTCTTATTATTTTTATTTTTTTTAATTATTTTTTTTTGAAATATATTTTTTTAATTATTACAAATTTTTTAGGTTTTAATTCCGGATACTGTAGATATTTATGAAGGTCGTAATATAAAAACAGTATTTAGCTTATTTGCGCTTGCTAAATATTTACATCGAATGCATCGTGGACCATCTATTCGACGTGAAGAAAACGTTGAATTTTCACGTAAGTTTGTATTATTCGAAATATTGTAACGTTTTTTTTTTTTTTAATATATCAAAATAATTCCAAAATTAGTAAAATATAAAAGTTTTATTAAATATATCAGAGTAATTCCAAAATTAATAAAATGTAAAAGTTTTATTAAATATATCAGAGTAATTCCAAAATTAATAAAATGTAAAACTTTTATTAAATATATCAAAATAATTCCAAAATTAATGTTTTATTACAGTTTTCTAAAATAATGTTAATAAAATTATATTCAAAGGCATAAAATATAAATTAAAAAGAATTTTAATTTATTTATTATCAATCTTAAATTTCATAAAATTTTATTGCTATTAAAACTTGAATAATCATTTTTTACATCTCATTAAACCATCATCTATAATTATCAAATTTTTTAAAAATGACAAACTTTTTTGCAGAATAAATTTTTTCATCAAAGAAAAAAGCGAATAATAATAATGAATTGAAAAATTCAAGTAGTTAATTTGAAATGAAAGCTAAATTTTAGCAATTATTTTTAATGTATTATTCTCAAATCAATGAAAATGAAAGTATCTTATTGAAGTTTTAACATATATTTTAATTAATTTCAATAAATTACTCATTCATACTTTTTTTTCTGATTAAAATTTAAATTAAAATTTTTCTCTTTGCTTCATTCCAGTATTTGTTTTATTTTTATTTTGAATTTTTTTTTTTTTTTGTTTACAGCAATGACGTTAAATGACGTACGTGAACGCTTAAAAAATAGTGATTTATCATTATTTGGTAATATTGATGAAATTTTGGCTACAATACCTGTTAATTTGAATGATACAAATATTGAAGCTATAATGCAATTAAACAATAGCATTAATGATAAGGTAAAAAAAAAAAAAAAAAAGTAGCAAACTTTTTTTTTTTACGTCAAACGTCAAAATGATATTAGCTTTACGTGTCAGAATGGCATTATAGTTTGAAAATGATAAGAGTGATATGAGATAGTTTTAAATTAAATACTGATGATAAGAATTAGCATAATAAACAGTCTTTATTACATTTAATTAATATTAATTCTTGCTTAATTTATATCATATTTAAATTAAAGCATTATTATTATCTTCAAAAATTTCAATTTTTTTTATTAAAATTCATTTTTTTTTTAATTTTTTATTTATTGTAATTTTTTTTAATTATAATTTTTAGATAAATTCTTAAAATTTTTTTTTATTCAAATTAATTATTTCTATTTTAGGTTATCTTATTGAAATGTTTGAAATGTTTTGATACAAATATTTCATATGTAAATGATTTATTTATTGATCGATATCAAGAAGAACTTATAAATCAACGAAAGATATTAGGCATAAATGAATTTTTAAATTGTAAACAAATTCAAGCAGCGATCAACAAAGTTAATTGTATGTTTATTCGATTCTTAAATTATTAAATTTGTTTTACATAACATTTCTTTATATAAATTATCATATATAAATATTGAATTATCAAATTATCAATTCAAATTGTTAAAAACCTTTAAATAAATCAATAGAGAATAGTTTCAAATATCAAAATATAATAAATAAAAAAAAAATAAAAAAAAAAAAAAAAAAAAAAAAAAAAAAAAAAAAAAAAAAAAAAAATTAAAATAAATAAATTATTAAAATTTTAAAAATTCTTTATATAAATTTATCATATATAAATATTAAATTATCAAATTATCAATTCAAATTATTAAAAATCTTTAAATAAATCAATAGAGAATAGTTGCAAAGATATCAAATTATCAAATATATAAATATTAAATTATCAAATTATCATTTTGTATGATTATGATACTTTAAAATTTTTGATTAATTCCTCCTTTATACCTAAATTATAAATGTTAATTTTATATGTAATTTTAAATTTAATTTGTATTATAAGTAATACAGTGTTAGATGATAGTATAAATGATAAGATTTTAACTAAATATTATAATTATATTTAAAATTTTACAATTTTAATTCATAATTGACAATTTATTAATCAAATCTGTAAGTTTCTTTTACTGAACTTTTTTGTTTTCTCATTTTTGAATTTAATTATTCAATTAATATAGGAATAATTCATTTAATTTTATCCCAAAATGTTTTCTTCTTATTTTAACTTTTCTTTTTTTTTTAATGTTTGCCTTTTTTTTCAAAAAAAAAAAACAAATTTTAGTAAATTCTATTTCATAGGTAAGAAAAAATCAAAATTGCAATTAAAATTTCAATGGAAAAAAAATTTAAATTTAAATTTAATTTTAGTCCAAAGCATCAACGACAATTAAAAAAATTAATTCAGACATAATGCAATAATAATATTTAATTTAAATTTATATTTTATCTTATTATATATTATTGAGTTCTATTGAAAGAAAAAAGAAAATAGAAAGTTTAAATTATTTATTTTATCATCCATTTAAATTATTTATTTATTACTAAATCATTTAAGTTTAAATTTTTAATGGCGAATATATTTTTTTTTTCTCGCAGTTTAAATGAAATATAAATTTGATGTTAACATTAAATTTTGTACGGAACGATAAAAAAAGATAATAAATAAAGATAAAAAATTTTTTAATTAAAAAAATAATTCGCTTATCAAATAAAAAAATGTTAGAATGGATAAATTTTATTATTAAAGTGCTAAAATATTTTAAAGTAATAAATTTAATTAAAAATTTTATAAAATCGACAAAACACAACAAATTTGCAATTATTTAAATAAATTAAAATATTTGCTCAAAAAAAAAAAAAAAACACAATAATTTAGTGCTAAATGGTCACTTGTGTATTATTATGTTTTTTTTTTTTCTTTTTTAAATTAAACAATTAAGTAATATATATAGAAAATTTAATTCAATAATTTATTAAATAATTTATTTAAATATTAACTAATTTTTCATATTCTAAAAACGAAAAAATTAATTTAAATATTAGACGAAGAAAAAATGAATTTTTTTTTTTTTTAAAGATATATTTCAAAAAAAAAAAATTTAATTTTTAATTAAAAAAAAATATTTTTCAGTGGAAAAAATACATTTGGCATGTGAAAATAATAATTGCAATGATTTATTAATGATAATTTGTAATTTGGATGATTTTAAAATGGAATATATTTCATTTTATATGTATGCATTGAAAAATTATTCACCGTTGACAATGGCGGAAGTGGACAAGGTCATTCGAAAGGTCAACCAAAATGTAGCAATTGCAATTATTAAATCACAAGATAGTATGTAAATTTTAATTTTTGTTAATTTTTGCCCTCTTATTATTATATAATTTGTTGTGGAAATTCATTACTGAAAATTTGTAATTGAAAATGGAATTAGAATATATAAAACTTAAAAAGAGATTTGTATTATTAATTGAAGAAAAAAATATGTTATTAATTAAAAAAAAAAGAAATTGCAGAAATATTCAAATATTGAAAATATATAAATCAAATGAACGCATTATTAATAATTCGTTTATTTCTTTCTCTCAAATATTTATTTATTTTAAATCTGATAAAATAATATTAAAATATATTAAAATAATTAATTGTATGTATCAAGCTGATATCATTATCATATCACTGTAAGATTTGTTGGACTTATCGAGAAAAAAGAGTTTAATCATATCAATGTATAATTTAATTAAAAATCCTAATCACATACATCAATTAGTATCCTTATCATATCACTGCAATTTTATTAGATTTATCAAAAAAAAAAAAAAGTGCCAGAACAAATTTGATAAATATGAATTGTTTATTTTAATAAATTTAATGCTTCGAAATCTTCAAAAAAAAAATCAATTTCTTTCTTTCGAATGTTTATTTATTTTAAATTCGATAAAATAATATTAAAATATATTAATATAATTAATTGTATGTATCAAACTGATATCTTTATCATATCACTGCAATTTTAGTTAGAATTATCAAAAAAAAAAAAGTGAGAGAACAGATTTGATATTATGATTTATTTATTTATGATAAATTTAATGCTTTAAAATATTTAAAAAAAAATCAATAATAATTTTAAACTGTTTAAAAATTTATCAAATTTTAGCACTTCATTTAAATTTATTTCTTCTGGATGATAAAAAAGATAAAGCAAAAAAATTATTGCTTACATCATGGAATAGTATTATACAAAATATTTCATTGTCAGAATTTATTGCTCGTTTAACAGAGGAAATTATTATACGAAAGAAAAAATGGGTAATTTTTTTTTTTTTGTAAATTAAAAAAATTTTTAAATTTGAATATGTAAACAAATATTAAAGGAAAAAAAAAGCAAATTACTGTTAAAATATTTTTTTTTTTAAATTAAAAATATCGAAATATTATTATTTTCTTAACTTATTTTTGCTAATTAATTTTTTTTTTTTTTGTAATTTTATTAGGAATCGAATATAAATGAAAGAAATGATGAATATTTACGAGAACGATTTAATGATGGTGAATTATTTATAAATGTTGATAATGAAAAAATAATTTATGATAAGCCGAACAAAATTATTAAATGGATGTTAACAAGAGAGGAAATTGAGGTAATACATCGAGAGTCGAGAATTTCTATCATTTCAATTTCAGTCATTTATAATTTTTTGTCGTTGAGATTATCAAATATAACATAATTGAAGGAAAATCAAATAAGATATTTTTTTTTAAATTTTATCTTAAATTTTAAAATTTGTATTTAAGAAATTTAAAATTAAACCTCGGAATTTAGACTTGCAATAAGATATTTGCACCTTAATTATGTGAAATAATAATAATCTGAAATAATCGAGTTGTAGTAAACTGAAATTTAGGTAAATATTATTACCTAAATTTGTGTTAGATTATTTCTTATTTAAATTAGATCAAATATTTGTATCCATAAGTAATTAAAATAATAAGTGAAATAATTGTCGAAAATTCTTTTTGCTCAAAGAAAGAAATCCAAAAAAAGTTTTGGCTAAATTTATCGATTTGTTGCAGGATATCAGCACAATGATAAATGATAAGGATGACATGGATCAGAAAGATGGAAATGATAATGAAATGAAATTGGAGAAAGCAGCAACCAAAATTCAACAATGGTGGAAAAAACGATTATTCTCGAAAAATTTCGAAGAATTGAGTAATAATAATGATAACAATAATAATAAATAATAATAGCAATAACAATAATGATAACATTAATAGTAATAATATTGATAATAATAATATAATATAATAATAAATATTGGCAATAATAATAATATTAATAAAAAATAACAAATAATATCAATAATAATAAATAATAAGCTAATAAGATTCACCAATGGTCGAGCAGTAAATAAAAATTTAGATGGCATTGATTAAAAAAAATATATAAATGGAAGTAGAAATAAAAATTAAAATTGAAATGTGAAATTAAAACTGATCGAAAAAAGTTCAAATGTAATTATTATAGGATTGAAAATGATAAGACGATGAATCATAAAACGAAATATAATTATGAGTAATACAAAAATTTTAATGTTACATTTAAAAAAAGCGAAAAGAAAAAAAAAAATGTTCGAAATGAAAAGAAATACGGAAAACCGGAAAATAACAAGAGGAAAAATATTTAGCAAAAAAAAAAATTACATTTTTTATTTTTATTTTTTGTTTTTCAATAGAAATATCTGATAAGCCATCTCTTCGAGTAGTACGACAATTTATTTCATTGTTATTGCATACACAAAATGATGAAACAGAAAACGAAGGTAATCATTTTTCTAAAAAAAATTTTTAATATTTAAAATTTAAGTTGTGAAAAAAATTTTTCAAGAAAATTGAAATTTTATCAGTTTATATTCAGAAGAAAATTTTATAAATAAATCTTTTAATATAATTATTAATAAATTGAAACGAATTAAAATTAAAAGTATTAAATTAATAAGTTAAAAAAAAATTAATAATTAATAATAATAGTAATAATTTATAGAATTGAAAAAAAATCGATTATATGCAACAAAATTAATTAATGCAAATGAATATTTGAAAGAGAAAATGATGGATTTGGATGAGAAAATTGTTCAAATATCCGCCAACAAAATTCAATTTCAAGTAAATGTTTCATTAACTTTTCCAAATTACTTTTTAAACTAAAATTTAGAATTAAAAAAAAAATTTATTTGATTTTAATTTTGATAAAAAGTAAACTTTTGAGATATTTGATGAATGTTAAAAAAAATTTTTGAAATTTAAATAAATTATTTTAAAAAAATATTTCATTTTTTTTTTTGCAAATTTTTATTTTTTCAATTAATTATAGGAATTACGAAGTTTATTGAAAAATATTCGTATGGAAGCAAACGATTATATAGCATATGATAAGCCATTATCAGTTAGTGATAAAAATGATATAACGATGAAACTTTATGAAATTATTTTTTTCCATTTACAAACAAAACCGCAATATTTTGTTAAATTGATGGGTAAATATAGCAATAACCCAAATGGTAGGTAGGGTTTAAAATATAATAGGAAGGAATGAAATCAAATTTAATTTTAATTTCTTTTTTTTTTTTTGAAAACTATCAAATGCTAAAAATTTTCAAAAATAAATTTGCATTTAATAATTGAATAATTAAAACAAAGAATTAAGCAAATGTGACAATTTCTTTTTATTTTGTAAATAAATTATAATAAAAAAATTTTCATTCGAAAGATATAAATATTTTAAGAAAAAAAAATTTGAGTTAAAATCGATTTTTTAAAGAATTAGAATAGATTTTATATAAAAATAATTTTTAAATGGTTTAATTTAATTTAAGAAAAAATAATTTTTTTTTTCTTCTTTTTTGTTATATTTAAATTTGTTATAAAAAAATTAAATTTTTAGATTAATTTACATATACATTTTTTTTTTTTTTTTTTTTTTAGAAAGATTAAATAGCTGTTTATTGATAAATAAATATTAAAATAAAGAATTTAAATGAAAATTTAAAAAGATTTAATTTTTTAATATTTATTTTTCAGGATTGTCGGATTTATTTCGAAAATCCGTTTTACCTGTTTACAGTTACGGAATGAGCAATCCTGAAATGTCATTATTAGCTTTATTATTAGCGAAATATTTGCATGAAGAAATAAAACAATTAAATAATCCAATCGATTTCCGGAATAATTCATCCACTGTTATTTTACAAATACTAATGGAGTGGATATTTCATTTTCATTTTTCTAATTTTAAATTTTTATTTAAATTTTTGAATTTTTAGATTATGGTACTTAATTAAAAAGGTAGAAATTTTTTTTTTTTTTTTTTTTTTAGAAATTTAGAAAAAGTAACAACAATATATGCCCAAAAAAATATGTATTTGATATTTAATACAAATTTATTTTTCTACACTACAAATAGTAATAATTAATATCATAAAATTTATTTCATTTTAGTAATTTAATTCAATCAAATTAAATTAAATTCAGTTTTACACTTACAAAAGCAAATTTAAATCGAATAGCATATGTAATAGAAATGAAATAATTCAAAATCATTGCAAAAATAAAATTAGTAAAACATTGAAATTTTTATGTTTAATTATTTAAGCATTATAAAATTTAAAAAAAAAAAAAATGAGTTATTTATATAAATGAAATTAGAAATGTCAAACTTTTTTATAATAATTAAGAATAATTGAATTATCATTTCTTTTTTTCCTTTAATCTTAAATATTATCAAATTTTAATACTAATAAAATGATAGTTTTTTTTTTCTCCTTTTCTAAAAATTATAATTAATCATTTATTTTTCTATAATTAATTAATCAATCATTTGTTAATTATAATTAATCTTTTTTTTTGTGTTTTTTTTAGCATTAAAATTTAAAAAATGAAAATTTTAGATTATATGGTAAAATGGAGCTACAACAGCAACAAATAGCAGAATTAAATCAAAATTTAAATAATATCAATTATTATGAACAATATTTTAATCTTAATCCAATAAATCTTTTCGAATCAATAACTGGCAGTAAAACAACAAATATTAATAAAGCAATGGAAAATGCTATAGTAAACAAAATTTTTAATAATAGTAAACAATTTCTCATTCATTGGGCTATTGCTTATGCTCAAATTATCTTTACAAAAACCTTCAAATATCCGTAAGTATTACAAAAAAAAAAAAATTAAATTAAAATTATTTTTTTTTTTTCATTTTGATTTTTAAACTTTTATTAAATAGTCAAAATTTTTTTGTAAAAAAAAAAAAAAAAAGATGTGTTAATGAAATAATATTAAATTAATAAATGAAAAGAAATATTGATAGAGAATGAAAATATCATATGAAAATTATCATAAGGAATAATTTTTATTAAAATAAATCAAAAATTTTTCTGTAATCAAAATTGGGAAATTAATTTGCAATGAATTATATTTTAAATAAGAAATTTTTAATAAAACCAAAAAGTGAATTTTTTTTTTCCTTCTAATATATTATCAATAATTATAATATAATTATAAATTTTAAAATAATTTTTAGGCAAAAAATAAAGCTTACATTATTAATTAAATTTTTAAAAATTTTTTTAATGTTATAATTATTTTAATTAATTTCATTTTTAGTAATATATTAAATTTATTTTTCTTTTATCACATTTTTTTCGTTTTTTTTTTTTAGTGATATCATACGATATATAGCGATATCAGCAAGAAATAACTTGAAGAAGCATTTTCCAACTCAATCTGATAGTACCATTATTCAGGTTCATTTAATTTTTTAATTTTTAAATTTAATTTTAATATGATAGTGGAAATTGTTGTAGAATAATAAATACTTGGAAAGAAAAAATCGGAATTTCTGATCTTATAATATGAAATTTTGGCTTCATAGTGTGAAGATTCAGAATCTTTGGATTTATTATGTGAAGATTCAATTTTTTTGGCCTTATGATATTGTGATTCAGAATCTTTAATCTTATGGTATAAAGATTCAGAATCTTTAATCTTATGGTATAAAGATTCAGAATCTTTAATCTTATGGTATAAAGATTCAGAATCTTTGGATTTGTTATGTGAAGATTTAATTTTTTGGCCTTATGATATTGTGATTCAGAATCTTTAATCTTATGGTATAAAGATTCAGAATCTTTAATCTTATGGTATAAAGATTCAGAATCTTTGGATTTGTTATGTGAAGATTTAATTTTTTGGCCTCATGATATTGTGATTCAGAATCTTTAATCTTATGGTATGAAGATTCAGAATCTCTAATCTCATGGATGATGATTCAGAATCTTTAATCTTATGGTATGAAGATTCAGAATCTCTAATCTCATGGATGATGATTCAGAATCTTTAATCTTATGATATGAAGATTCAGAATCTTGGATGATTTTATAAATTAAATTGCACTAATGATTTCATCACATTTCACTGACAAAATTTCTGACTGAATAATTATTTTGCAATTATTAGTATCACTAATTCTAATCAACTTTATTAAATTAGGAAGTGATAATTAATTAATTTTAATCGCTTATTACAATCACTAATTAACATTTTTTTTTTTTTTTTTTACAAAAAAAGAAACTAATTCTGTTAATTCATAGATTTGTAGCATTCAATATTTTTAGATAATACTCAAGAGAAAATGAAAAGAAAAAATAAAGTAAATTTAATTTGTCGTTAATTAATGATTGTAACAAGAGTTAGTTTTTTTAAAACTTAAAAAAAAAACAGAGTCTTTGATTCTATGATGTAAAGATTCAAAATGTTTGATTTTATATCAGATAGGATAAATTGATAGAATTATCAGGTAGATAGGATAAATTGATAGAATTATCAGGTAGATAGGATAAATTGATAGAATTATCAGGTAGATAGGATAAATTGATAGAATTATCAGGTAGATAGGATAAATTGATAGAATTATCAGGTAGATAGGATAAATTGATAGAATTATCAGGTAGATAGGATAAATTGATAGAATTATCAGGTAGATAGGATAGGATAAATTGATAGAATTATCAGGTAGATAGGATAAATTGATAGAATTATCAGGTAGATAGGATAAATTGATAGAATTATCAGGTAGATAGGATAAATTGATAGAATTATCAGGTAGATAGGATAAATTGATAGAATTATCAGGTAGATAGGATAAATTGATAGAATTATCAGGTAGAATAGGATAAATTGATAGAATTATCAGGTAGATAGGATAAATTGATAGAATTATCAGGTAGATAGGATAAATTGATAGAATTATCAGGTAGATAGGATAAATTGATAGAATTATCAGGTAGATAGGATAAATTGATAGAATATCAGGTAGATAGGATAAATTGATAGAATTATCAGGTAGATAGGATAAATTGATAGAATTATCAGGTAGATAGGATAGGATAAATTGATAGAATTATCAGGTAGATAGGATAGATATTGATAGAATTATCAGGTAGATAGGATAAATTGATAGAATTATCAGTATAGATAGGATAAATTGATAGAATTATCAGGTAGATAGGATAAATTGATAGAATTATCAGTAGAATAAGGATAAATTGATAGAATTATCAGGTTAGATAGGATAAATTGATAGAATTATCAGGTAGATAGGATAAATTGATAGAATTATCAGGTAGATAGGATAAATTGATAGAATTATCAGGTAGATAGGATAGGATAAATTGATAGAATTATCAGGTAGATAGGATAGGATAAATTGATAGAATTATCAGGTAGATAGGATAGGATAAATTGATAGAAATAAAGGTAAAATTTCAGGTAATTAATGCATGGCTCTACAATGGCTGTTGGATGAAAGTAATTACTGCTAGCGAAAGTTTAAATATGATAAGCGAAATTGGAAAAGTTAATGAATATAAAACTTTAGCAATTCGTAAAGTAATTAGCAAATTTATCGAATATAGTATTTTAAATTTTGGTGTAAGTATTTCATTTCCTTTTTTTTAACATTAAAAAATAAATTCCATTTATCAATTAATTAGTACCAAAAATTCCAGAAATTTTATGACAATAATAAACAATAAAGTCTACTGGTGTAATATTGAATTTGAAATTTTGAAGTAAGCTAAAAAATTTTTATCACAAAATTTCAAAATTAATTCTATTTGACTGGAAAGCTAAAAATAAGCTAACCGTGAAAGTAAGATTTATTGTTTATGAATTTTTTATTTATATTTATCAATAAAACTGATAATATTATTGTAGTTTAGTAGAGCTAATGCTTTCTAATAATTATAGATCGAAAAAAAAAATTTGTTTTTTAATTTTTATATTTAAGTACAAAAAATTATGAATTAATATATAATTTTTCATATTTTGCATTTGAATATAAAGAAATTAATAGAAAAATTAAATTTATATTTTCTATTTGTGTATATGAAATATTATGAATAACAATTTTTGAAGAAATTATTTCTTTTTTAAGTAAACAATTCTTCGTACTATTACCTTTGGATATTAATATCAAATGTTAATATAAAATGTTAAATATCTACAAAATGCTTGAAATAATGATTTTTTTATATAAAATTTAACAAAAATTTTTTTTCCTTTTTTTTTTCAGATTTTTTCTTTTTTTTTTCAGTATAGCACTGAAAAATATTGGTTAAATTCATTGAATGATGCTATCACAAAAATTAATACTATTTCAAAGTAAGCATTTTAAATAATTTATTAATTATTCTGATCAAAAAAAAAAAAAAAAAATGAAAAAAGAAAATCACAAATATTAATTTAGTCTTTGAAAAATGATTAATAATTTAATCTTTATTTTATGGAATATTTTATACAAACAAATTTTAATTTGATTCAATATTAATATCTCTTGCAAATTTTTATAATTAATTTTTAAAATTTAAGTTGTTATAATTTAGTTGCTTAAAAAAGATGATGAATATTAATTAGTCTTCGAAAATTTTTTGTTTTCTTCATCAGTAATTTAATTTTTATTTTATGGAATATTTTATGTAAACAAATTTAATTTAATTAAATACTAATATGTTTTTTGCAAATTGTCACAATTAATATTTAAGATTTAAATTATTATAATTTAAATAATTTTTATATTTATTTGTTTACATTTTAATTCTTTTTTTTTTCTCTCATTATTTTTATTTTAGATTACATTTTATTAAATTTATAATGCAAAATCCACCGTGCAGTATTGATGATGAAAAATGGAAGAAATATGAATCATACAGGCCTATCCTTCATCTAACAATGTGTCAACTACATGTCACCCTTCAAAAGTTTCAAAATGATGTCAACGAGGTTTGTTGTGCAAATATTGACGAAGATATATGCATAAAATGAATATTATTTGAAAATAATTTTAATAAAAAAGTTTGAATTCAAAATAATTTTTCTTTCCTTTTTTTTTTTAACTCTAATTTTATATTACAACAGTAATTAATAATTTAATTAATTCATTGTAACTATTAAATAATTCAATTAATTCATTGTAACTATTAAATAATTTAATTAATTCATTGTTACTATTAAAAAATAATAATAATAATTAATCGTAATCATTAATCAAATATAGTAATAATTTACTATTCTAGCAGTAGAATATATAAAATGAGAATTTAATTGTATGAAAAATTATTTATTACAATTTGTTTATTTGTTTGTTTGTTTATTTGCAATAATATTATCAACAAAATTAATTACAAAAAAAAAAGATAATAATTGATTAATTTATCAGATAATTTCAAAAAATTCACAATTGAGTCAGTTTATTGCTAATGTATTATCATTACCGATTGATAATATAAAACAATATGTGACACTTCATTTGCATCCTTTTACATCAAATGAAACTGATAATTACGATGAAATATTCCGAAGGTTATAAAATTTTTTTTTTTTTTTCATTTTTTATTATCAATAAAATAATTAGTAAGTGATAAATTTAATTCTAGAAAAATTTTTTTACTTTTCATTTTTTTTTTTAAAAAAAAATAATTATTGACGAAATTTTTTTTCAAAAATTAATTATTAATAATTGATTTTTTTTCTCAAATTATTTAATAATTTGATTAAAATTTTATTTCACTTTAACAAAATATTTATCCAATTCTTTAACTCAATTCCTATTTTTTCTCTCTTGTTTTAATTTTTCCCCTTTTTTTTCTACCCAGAACGATGCAATATGTGGAAAATTGCTTGTTAAGTGGTTGCCCGGGTAATAATTTAACACAACTTCTTGCTCATCATACACTTCAGAAAGAAGAGGAAATTTTTCGAAAATTTTTACATCGAAATAATAATAATCAACATATAAAGTAAGTATTGATAATATTATTTTTAAATTTATCTCATAATTTTTGCATTTAATTAATTAATTAATTAATTAGCTGATCAATTAATTGTTTTATTCATTTGCTTATTCTATTATATAATTTTTGTATTTTATATATTTATTTAATTAATAATGAGTGAAATAATCTGATGAAAAAAAAAAATGAGTGAAAAAGATTGTTCACTTATTTACTTATTTATTTACCTATTTATCTATTATTTATTTATTTACATATTTATCTATTATTTATTTACTAATTTGTCTATTACTTATTTATTTGTAGAATTTATTTATTATCAATTAATTAATTTATTATTCATTGACTAACTTATTTATTAATAGGCATTATTACAAAACATACTTTACTGATATTACAGTTTAAGCGTAAAATTTCTTGCAGTGATAAGTAAAGTAAATAATTGATGTATTAGATATTAAGAGGAAAAAAAAACACAAATAATGTCAAAATAATTTAAATTTCATTTTATATTAATATGAACTAATTTTAATTATTATAATAAACTCAAAATTGATACTAATTTAATATAATTCATTAATATTTATCTAATGCAATTATGTTTTATTACAAACGATGCGCTATATAATATAATAATTAATATTCCTATTAATGTATTAATTTAATTAAATGTTTAATTTCTGGGATCAAAATTTGAATACAGTTTTTTTGTTTTCAAGTATTTGATTAAAAATTATTTAAGGCTAACATTGGATGAGACAAAATGCCATATTATTCGTCAGTTGAGCACATTAGAGAAGGCTAAACGAGTAACATCAATAAATAATTATCAAAGTATTGTCACAGCTATCGCTAAGGTTTATTTACAATAATAATTATTATTTTTCCTTTTTTTTTTTTTTTTCTATTTTTTATTTTCATCAAAACTATATTTAATAATTTAAAAAAAAAGAATTGAAGTTATTAAAAAAAAAAATCATAAAATGAATTATTTGATAATCAAAAAAATATATATCAGTTTGAAATGAAAAAGAATAATTTCGTAAATTGATAAAAAAATACATAATTTTATTGTACAAAACAGTTACTATCATTCTTTCTTTCATTTATTTTAATGAAAAATAAAAATATGTTAAATTTATTATAATTAATTAAATAGAAATAGTAATTAAAAAATGCACACATCAAATAATCAATATTATTTAAGTGGAAAAATAAAATTTAGCATACATTTCAGGAAATTAACAAAACGGATGAATATCGTAAAATTCGTCAAATCGATTTGATAACAATGCGTAAATTAGTGTCAGAGCTTGAAAAAACTCAATTGGATTATCAGAAACGTTTGGAACGATATGCAAAATTATTTGAAAAAATTTAAATGATTAAAGATATCATTAAATATTAAATTTCATTTTTAAAGTTTATCAATTCTCTCAAATTGTTACTTTTTCGTTTTATTATAAAAATATTATTGTAGAAATACCAGCCGAAAGTAAATTTACGAAATGCTATATTAAAATTGAAATTAAATTTAACATTTTATTTTTGTTGCGAAATATTTTAAACAGTTTTATTTTTCTTTTTTGTCTAAGTTAACAAGCGAAAAAATGCTAATGTCATATCATAACCTTTTTAGATGAATTGTAATTTGCCATTTTTGGATTGTTTTTTAATTATTCATTGTTATGCTATGATTAATTCAGTTTATTCAAACTGATTTAATTTTAAACTTCTAATATGATACATTTCATGGTATTAATCAGTACCATACATAAAACTCGAAATGAAGATTAATTAAATTATTAATTCACGTTTCATTTCCATATTCTTCCACTTCTTCTGCTAAAAAAAGTATTAAAATTAGGTAAATTATTATTAAATTACTTTCAGATGAAATAAAACCCAAGAAATCTGAAAAATGGTCATATTTAATTTAATTATATTAAGCATGAATAAAAAAGAAAAAAGAGATCCATCTCAACTATAATATATGAAAAATTGTAAAAAAAAAAATGATCAAATTTTTAAAAATGACATAATTGATTCAAACAGGATCACTCATTGGTTATATTCTTTGACTAACTAATCAACCCAATCAATCAATTAATAACTTTAAAAAGAAAAAACGAAAAAAAAAAAAACAAAAATTTCAAATGATACTGGAAAATGAAAGCTTGTTTAATGCTAAATGAAAGTTTGTGTAGAAGTGTATTACTTTGAAATTACTTGTAAACAACATTACTTGTTGTTAACAAGTAATTTCACAGTACACGTATGATTAGGTGAGAATGACATCTAACATTTGATAAATATTAATCAATAAATATTAACAATTAAATTTCTAATTCGCTGCACTTTAATAGTAAAAAAAAGAAAAGAATATATTGCCAAAATCTAAATCATCATAAAAGATTTTTTTTTATAGTAATCAATTCACATTTATTCTGGCTTTAATATTTGAGATATTCCCATCTCCAATTTTTTTTCTTTTATCAAATTTTCAAAAATTTACAAAACTTCTTATGACATATTAGACCTTTTTTTTTCAAATTCCGTTAAGTCGATATCATATTCCTAAAAATCATTCTTATTTTTCGATGCATTTCTATCGTAGTAGTTTGTTTGCTTAGCATATTTGTCATCTTGTTGAAATTTAAAATTTAAATGTAACATTGAAGTGTACCATGTAAAAAGAATACAGCTTTATGTGTTGACATATATAAAAAAAAAAAAAAAAAAAAATTTCACAGTGTCAGTAAATAAGGGTCATTTATACAAAATCAAACTAATTCAATATTGAAGCAAAAATACAGGATTATTTCTTAGCAACTGATGGTAGAGAGAGACAAAAAATAAAAAATAAAAATAAAAAGGTTGACAAAATTGTGTGCACATGCAGTACCACCACTTTATAGAGAAATCGGCGTATGCCTACAATTTGTACATAAAAAAACAAAAAAGCAAAAAAAAAAAGAGAAAGCCAAATAAGAAAAATTCTTTTTTACCCATATTGCCATTTCCCTACTAAAAAAAAAAAAAGAAAAAAAGCTGATAACCTATAATAAAGAAATTATGTGACGTAGAATTTATCCAAATAAATGGATGGACTTTACAATCTTATTATTATTATTCAAATTTGTAGCTCAAATAATAAAAAATTTCTTCATTAAGTGCACTTCTCCATCAATGATCATAAATTGAAATCGACAAAAGTTACTTTTTTCGTTTCCATAAGCAAAAAAAAGAGAGAGAAAAAAACTCACCTCTCCTTATTCTTTCTATTACTCTTTAATCTTAGAATGCAGTGCTATTGCTGAAGAGAGAAAATAATCAAATATATGTTCAGTCAAAATCAAACTACTGCAGAAAAATAAAAAAGTGAAGAAGAATAATTGCAGCTTCTATTATTATCATATCTTTTTGTAAAATGGAAATATTTTACAAATATAATAGTCCACCAAAATTTGAATTTACATAACTCAAGATAAATCCCTTCCTTTTCTTTTTTCTCTCCCTCCCTTTTCATAAAAAAAAGGAAAAAAAGCATCCCTAACCTCGTACGATTATGAAAGAATTATTGACCTACAGAGCATAAACATACACACACACACACACACACACACACACACACACACACACAAGCACAAACACACCCATACAGAGAACGATCAGCCCCACATTTTCCCTTCTCCTCTTAAAACAAAAAAGGAAAAGAAAAACAAACGTTCAGCTGAACCAGTTATCAAATTTCAAAAGAGGTTTGGAAGATTAGGAAATACAGAGAACCAAAAAAGAACCATAAAAAAATTGGATGTAAGATAGCGTGAAGATAAGACAAAAAAAAAAAAAACGTAAAGAAAAGCATAATTTGGAAATATTCTGATCTGATGAAGATGATAAACAGCATTCCTGACATACTTTTTAAACATCCAAAAATAATTCTGCACTTATTCATCGAAAATAGCATTGAAAAACTTTCCAGAAAATCAAGCTAATTATCGTTAAAGAAAAAGAAAATGATTGAGATAGGATGGAAAAGGGAGGACTAGCAATAAAAATGTTTTATAGCTCATTCTTTGCTTTTTCTAATGATGAAATTTTCGAAAAAAGGATGGTAAAAGAGAAGAGAAAAAATTTTGGCTACATAATGGGGAAGTGTGTAGAAGTGTTTCGCCGTCCTTTCAATGAGCAAACCAATATCAAAACACACATCCTAAATCCGTTGGATCTTTTCGGAGACAATCACCGGATTATTCTTACGAATTTCTTCTCTCTCCATTGTTTTGTAATCAAAGGAACAACCATGCGCTGTATCATAACGATGCTCACCGCAGTATAAGCCACCACAACGACAGACGAAACCTACAAAAATATCATCATTTATAATTAATCTCTTATAATTGTAATAATTGTAAAAGATCGATGGTGAATGTTACAGAGCTAGCAACAATTTGATTGCCACATTTTATGATATTATATTTTTGTGAGAACTTTTTCCGTCAATCCACCTTACTTTGACAAAGAACTGACATTCCATTTTGCAAAATGTCCGTCTCAGAGCAAAGTGCAAAGTTCTTCCTCTCTAATTTCCGTTTCTTCTTTTTTTTTTGTCTTTATTTCACCGAATAAAACAATCAATAAACTCAAAATGAACAACCAAAAAAAGAAGAAAAAAATGAACAATATCTATTAGAATCAAATTCTGAAATAATCTGAAAATACCAGTAAGGCCGACACGTTTCTTGCAAACATGACAACGATTGGCTTTCTTCGGAACCGGCTGACCTTCGTTACTCAAAGTTATCGAATCAGGAGCTACTGCAGTATCAAGGCTTGCCACAGAGCTAAAAATGAATAAAATACACATTTAATACTGAACAAATGTACCAATATATATGCAATAACAGAATTATGGCGAGATATGTTATCACACACCACTGAATGTCGTCAGATACTGCTCAGGTGCTCCAGATAGATTTTTTAAATTCAATTTTCAAATCAACCTTTTGCAAAACTTCAAAAATTACTTTCCTCATAAGAAAGACATTTAAGATGAGCCCACGAACAAACAAATAATTCTGAATTGTACCAAAGTTCTGCTACTTTTTCTTCAATTACTAAAACTTATTAATGTGCACCTTTTCAACAACTTCGATGCTTAATACACTAAAACCCAGTGTCTCGTCATCAAATCCGGAAATCGGATGAATTGTCTTCATGAGAACTTTACGCATACTTCTTTAAATATTAACAACCGGGTGGAAATTTCTAATTAATTATTAAGGATTTTAGTCCATTTTATATAAATTTATTTTATCTTAAACAAAGTCCATGCCACTAAAACGCTTCCAACTGAAGGTCTGTTACCTTTGCTAAATGATCTACCTTATTATAAAATTCATGTAAAGAAATGTATGGAAAAGTAATCAAACCTAGATGTAGAAAGGACACCAGAGCAAGTACCCGACGAAGACGCCGTGATACCACCCGCTGCTTCCACAGCCGCTGCTACTGATTCTAGTTGGGCAGTCATATCTTCTGAGGATTTTGCGGCCTGCGAACAGGAAACCTGAAGTAATCCCTTAACCAAAATCCTCAAACTATCAAAACCAATTTATCTAATTCATTCGTGAAATTTCCTTTTTTTTTGCCTTCGGGTTGCTACGATACTGAAAAATTTATGTTAAACCTAAAGAATATTTTTTTGCCAGCGGACAAATCCATAAAAGCGCAGCAGATGATATCAGAGATAATAGAGAGGAATGTCATCCTAAATATAATGAAATCATTTAGGGAAAAAGTTCTGAAGCATAATGTATAAACCTAATTAGCAGACCCTTTTTTTCCATTATTTATGTTTCACATAAATCGTTTTTTTTTTTTTTTTAAAAAAAGGTTTTCTCGGTTTTTTTTAACACTTACCGTCGACTGATTTCATGATCAATTAAATAACTGAATTTTTGGAATCAAATATTTCAATAATTCAACTTTACTTAAACAAATCTTAATTTCCACAGAAGATAGTGAAATGAAGAATGAAATACAATAAAAATTGCGATACTTACCTCCCTAAGCTTTTCGGCAATAATCACCGTTGATGACGTGGCAGCAGTATTATCAGCGTTACACGTTGTGTTGCTAATAGTACTTGATGTAGCTGTAACTGTATTAGCACCCGAATTAACAACAGCTGGTAACGGTGGACTTACACGTGCTGTAGTATCCTGTTTACGTTTCACATAATCTTTGTAACATTTCGAGCATAAGCCTTCGGTAGATGGTGAACCGAAGAAACCACAACCCGCACGGCATAACGTTGTCGTCTGTTGTTGATTTTCCATAGCTCTTCCACTTTACCTATCGACTCACGTATAATTCCTATTTACGTGGAAGCCGATAATTAGCTTGCTCGTTAAAAACTGAAAATAAAACATTTCGATTAATACCCAAGAAAAAAAAAAAACGAACAAAATTGAAGAGATAACAAACAATCAAGTGCACAATATAATTTCTATTTGTGCATACCACAATTATGTCAAAAACAATTAACTACGAATAGTTTTACAAAAAAAAAATACAAAGAGCCTATTTCTTAGTGTCCGTTTGCAATATTCGCATAACAAATGAATGATCCAATATTTGCAATAATATCAATCATACAAATAATGTAAAATTTAACAACTTAATCTCTCTCTCTCTCTCATTTTATCTTTCTCTGATTTCCCTCCCCTCCCGAAAAAAAAGCTAAATCATTCTCTTTTATCTGAAGGAAATAAAATTTTTCTTCCCTTATGTGAAAAGAACAATGACTCATTTACCCGCATTCTCCCTGTATAACAAAACTAAATATACATAAAACGTATGATAAAACGAAGCATTACACACACACACCTACGTAGAATGTTTGTAATTTCCATGCAAACATTTGAAATGCATATGATAAAACTGACATATTATACAATGATAACTGCTCAATATATTGAAGTTAACAAAAAAAAAAAATCAATAGGGTCACAATTACTAGAGTTAATTTCATTGAATTTCATCTCATTACATTTGTAAATACAGGAAAAAATCTTTTCAAGCTATATCATATTATTACGATCAAATCTTCTGATATCGATATGATAAATCTATTACAGTACAAATAATAGTACAATGATAGCGCAAATTAATCTGCCGTGAACGATCAATGATAACGAAAAAAAAGATGCAGCAATGCATCACCGATAAATTGTAAAGTGCTAAACCTGTGGATGCTTTTTAAAGTAAACAAAATTATTTTTCTAATTTCTATTACTGTTCTCATTTGAAACGAAAGAGAAAGTAAATTAATTCTTTGTTGTTCTTGTTTATTGTTTACTGATAAAATAGTAAACATCATCGATCATACATTCGCGCAAACAAACATATGATATGAGTACAGATCAAGCAGCATACATACACACATACAACACAAGCATACGTGTATACAATATATATACCAGCATACATACACATACAGATAAGTATGGATTAAGCAACATACACATACATACATACACAAATATAGACAGGCAAACACACAGTAGAGAAAACAAGTAGAAAAGAAAAGCAAATACCAATAGTAATTACTCGATAATTTGTGATGTTATTATCATCGATCAATTAATTTTACTCATTCTTATCGCGGAATATATCAAAAATAAAGTAAAATATGAGTAACACAATAGAAATTTATTCAATTTAAAATTCTCCTACTAATACCACTTCCTGCTGCTTTACACAGTAATTATAGAAGCTATTCCAAATATTATTTAAAAAAGGACGAAATTTTAACAACTACAGTCATAACTATTTAACACACATATCACATCCCGACAGTTCTCGAAGAATAGCTAAAACCAAATTCAGAAATCAAGAAAAATATTCCTAATCTACATATTACACATATGTATGTATGTATGTACTTATACATACACACACATACTCACATACAAGCACTCACACACATACACACACCCCAATAGTATATAATGAAACCAAATGGGCCTACTACATCTCGCATACATTCTGCCAGCCGACCAACCACCCAATCAACCAACCAACTGGCCAAACAGTAGGCAGACGGGCGGAGACATACATTAACAGACAGACAGACACAGCACAGAAAGAGAAAGAGGGAAAGAGATGGCCAAATAAACAGATCGAAGGAAAGGTCGATAACCGGTTATAGACAGTCGATGGTAGCACCACCCTCTCTACTACCTGAACACCAATGCTCACTCACATACACACACATGCACTCACATACACACACACTACATGCAGTTGCATGCACGTACTTGCTCACAGGTCTGCATGCATGTCATGTTCTGATGTGCATCACATAGGCACACGTACACACATACATAAGGGCCCACTCGTATACGTCATTTGCACGTACACAACTTACGCGAACACACACAGACACACATGCATCCACATAAGCCACATATACACTCATATCTGCACGTACATACACACAAACTTGTATTTGCATGTACACACACGTCTTGCACGTACCTGTAGGTACACCCATACTTGCACGTGCGTACACCTACACACGTACACATACATACACATACACACACACACACACATACATTGATATAAAAACAGGCAAAGTGTGCGGCTAATGCTTGATGACGCATAAAGCAAGCAGTCGACAATTTTACACAATCGATTGGAACCATTCACTGAGAGAAGGAAAAAGATTGCAAGAAGAAATGAATGGGAAAATTGAGGGAGGGGCGGGGAATATTCCGGGAAATATTCCAGACGGGGAAAGAAAAATCTTTTCAACGAAATGTAAAATTAACTAGCAACTCGTCCTGCTGAATTGAAATCATAAAATTCATATTTATACAAATATATTTTAATTTTAAGTAATAATTATTTAGAAAAAAGTAAAAAAAAAAAAGTAAAAAGAGAAAAAAGCAAAAACGAATTATTTAGAAAGAATTTTTCTTCGAAAAATGAAATTAATTCATTTCTTGAAATTTAAATAAAGCAAAAAAAAAAAAATGCAAATTTGTTAATATTCAAATTAGCAATGTAATTTCATATCAAAAAAACACACACACAATGAATTATATAGAATAAATCAATAAGTGATAGAATGATGTATTAGAATAAAATATTTTATGATTGGGATAATAGTTGAGATGATAATATTGATAATAAAGATGATATTGATAACAATAATAATAATGTAATTGTTATAATTATTATTATTGATAATTGGAATTGATAATGGCAATAATAATATGATAATGGACAAAGAAATATATCACATTATATTCACAACAATCTTCACAAATTTATTATTTTAACAACTGAATGCATAGAATAATGATAATGACATTGATAATGATGATGATATTGATAATTAAATTATCATTCCTAAATCAATAAGGCTTCATTTTCTTGCTTACGTATACATTTACGTGTACATGCATATACTGCGTACATTTGTGTGTGTGTGTATGTGTGTGTGTGTGTGTGTGTGTGTGTGTGTGTGTGTGTGTGTGTGTGTGTGTGTGTGTGTGTGTGTGTGTGTGTGTGTGTGTGTGTGTGTGTGTGTGTGCATATATGTATGTGTGTATGTATGATTGATTTCAAAAACGATGAATGAATGATTGATAATAGGAATGATAACTGTCATACGTAATATGACGTCAAGCCCGTATATCACGTAGCAGTCGTATTACATCACAGCTTATTTCAACTTTTTGAAAGTCTTATCATACTTAAAACACACTGAAGAATTTATACGACACACACATACATACATACATACACACACATACACATACACATACATACATACATATACACACATACACATACATTTATATATACACACAAATACACATACGATGATGAAATAGAATTTTGAAACAAAAATGTTTAAAAGAGCGAAGATTAATAAGTAATCCATCTGCTGTTGGTTGGCGATGATGATATCATTATCATTTATCACTATCACTATCACCATCATCATTATTATTATTATTATTATTAGATTGAAATAGTCAGTAATTTTATGAAATCTTACAATATCAGAAAAAAAAATATCAAATTTGCTATTCTGTAATACAAACAATTTAAATGTAAGTTTGAAAACAAACCGCTCACCGTTTATGTGATTGTGAAAATGACACTGTAAAATGAATTGAGTGTAATAAGTAAATACATTTGAAATGAAAAATTTATTTATAAAAAAAAAAAAAAAAATGAAGAAAACGAAAATAAAAAATAAGTTCAAAATAAGAAAAACAAAGTTAACAAACGAACAAATTTGATCAAACTGATTTATTTAATTTTAATTTTTAATTCCGATTATTATTATTATTATTGTTATTAAATGGTAAGAATAAAAATAATAATAATAAAGTTAAGAATTAAATACCAATTAATTACTTAAACTTTTTGTTTAAAATGGAAAGAAAAGCAAAAAAAAAAAAAAAAAGTGTGAAGAAAGCAAAGTAAAACAAATGCTACAACAAATAAATATTTTAATAAATGTTATTTTGGTGATTGTATTATATCAAAGAAATTCTAAAACTTTTTTTTTTCTTGAAATAATGCATGGAAAAATGCTTTTTTTTTTTCTATTCATTTCATCTTATTTTCATTTTCCTTTATTTTTCGTTATTTTTAAACTTTAATGAAAGACTGAAAGATGAAGGAATAATAGCATTCAATTAGGGAATAAAATTAATAAAATTTTAATGATTTAAAAATTATCTTATCACTAGATTATTATCATGATTTTCCTGTTCTGTTTTTGTTTTTTTTTTTTTAAATTTAAATTAACTAATTATTTATTTATGAGTAATAAAAGTTACCTAATTTTAATTTATTTCATTGCTTATTTATTGTTATTTTTATACGAATTTTATTGATAATATTTTTTTATAAATTTTATTTAAATTATTTTAGTAAGCAAAAAAAAAAAAGTAAAATAATAATAGTAATATATCAAATTTCATGTGAAAAAGGAAGAAAAAAAAAAAAGGAAAGAAAAGAAGAGAGAGGGAAAAAAGAAAGAGGAAGCAAAATCTTAAATTTGTCAATCATTTTAATAAAATTATCATCAATGGAATGGAGAGAGAGAGAAAAAATGAGGGGGGAAGAGAAAAAAGGGAAAAAGAGGAAATAGATAATAAATAGGAAGTAGGAAGTAAGAGGAAAATGAATGAATTAAGAGAAATGAATGAAAAAGATTTGATAGATAGTGTAAACAAAACAGGATGATAATGATTAGTGACAATGTGAAAAAAAAAAGAAAGAAAAAGGAAAAATAAAAAAGAAAGTGAAAAGGATGAAGAAGGAAAAAAAAAGAATGGAAAGGAATTGAAAGGAAAGGAAAAAGAAAAGAAAAGGAGGAAATTTTTTATTTTAATATTAGTATTATTAAATATGTCTTTTTTAATATATGTTATTAAGTAAACAGAGAAATATTTTAGTAAATATAACAAAAAAAAAAGAAATAAAAGGAATGAAAAGAAAAAAAAGAGATGAAAAAATTAAATGAGAGAAAAAGAAAATGAGAAAAAAAAAGATTGTGAGAAAAAGGAAATGAATGAAAATAAACTAAAAATAAAATAATATAGAAAGCAAACATATATGTGAGGGAGAGAGAGAGAGAGATGGAAAAAGAAAAAAAAAAAGAAATGCTCAAAGTGTCTTTATAGTAAATAAAAAGAATTTTTTTTAAAAAAAAAGTACAAATTTTTATGTTAGCATTTAATGCATTTTCTCTTTCTCTCTCTCTCTGCCTCTTTCTCTCTCCCTCTCTCTCTCTCTCTTTCGTTTCATTTGAAAATAAAAATTGCGATTTGTTTTTTTGATAAATTGCGATCGATTTGATATCGATTTGGTCTGATCGATGAAGTGATATGAAATGATTAGATGATACATAGGGAGAGGGAGAGAGAGAGAGAGAGAGAGGGAGAGAGAAAGAATCATTTAAACAATTAATGATAAACTGATTAAGTGATAAATAATTATTAAGCAAAAGAAATTATGTGTTAAAATTTTCTTTTCCTTCTTTTTTGTTTCATTTTTTATTTTATTATTTTTCTATTTATTATTTATTTATTTATTTATTTTTGAAATAGAAAAATAAAAAAAAAATGAAATTTATGAATCAATGATTATTATTATTATATCTATGCTTATAAGATTTAAATAACAATTATATTGATTGTTAATTTAATAAAATTTTATATAACAATGCGATTTATAATGATTACAATTTAAAAATGCAAAAAAAAAAAAAAAAAAAAAACGAAAAATAAAAATGAAATAAAAGAAAAAAGGTAAAAAAGAAAATACTAGTTTATATTATATATTATCAGTAATAATTTAAAAATTATTATCCTGAAATTTTTTAAAATTTATTTATTAGTGTTATTTTTTATTTTATTACTTTCTTTAAAACAAAAAAAAAAAAAAAAGAAAAATTAGAATAATTATAATTGGAAAGCATAGCTATTATTGACAATACAACAATGGAAAAGATTAAATTGAACTGAAACTACTTGAAATATATGAAATCTATTTTGAACTATTTCAGTATGAGAGAAATTGAATTTTCATTAAAAAATTGAGTTGTTATTTAAATTTATTCATTGTTTTATAAACAAAAAAAAAATGAGAAAAGGAAAAATTAAAGAGAAAAATGTGATATTCAAACTTTCATTTCTACTCGTATCATTTGATAACATTTTAATTGATTAATACTAATAATTAATATACTTATTACTTCATTACTTGATATTTGATACCTAATCATACTTAGTAATTATTATTGTACTAAACATTATATATAATAATTAGATATTGTATTTGATCCCTGATTACAGTTAATACTTTGATATTATATTATGGCATAATAATATCTTACTTAATACTTGAATACTATTTTGATATCATAGCTAGTACCTGGATATCATATTCAAATGTGATATTACACATGTTAATAAAGTAATACTTGTTAATGAATTAAAAAATTGTGTATTGTACTTGATAACTGATCATAATACTATAATTGAATATTGTACTTGATAACTGATCATAATACTATAATTGAATATTGTACTTGATAACTGATCATAATACTATAATTGAATATTGTACTTGATAACTGATCATAATACTATAATTGAATATTGTACTTGATAACTGATCATAACATCATATATAATACTTTTATACTTGAATAATTCATAATAATAGAAAAATGGAATGTTATTTCTTCCTTTTGCATCGCCTAGCAATCAAAAAAAAAAACTATTTGAAAAATTTTAGGAAAATTGAATTAATTTTGGGGAAATAAACTTTGCAATGAATCATGAGCAGTTTATAATGCAATGACAAGAAAGAAAGTCATTCATCACTTCAACAAATTCTCTCACATTTTTGTTTATTTGTTTATTTATTTATTTATTTGTTTGTTCAATCATTCACTCATTCATTTAGTTATATTCATGAAATTAAAGCATTTTTATTTGTTATAGCAATGAATAAATGAAATTAAATTAAGTGAAATTTTATAAAATGAATTGTTAAATTAATTTTCCCTCAAATTAATTATTATATTAAATTTTGTTGTAGATAAATTCTTATCAATAGAATTATTTATTATATAATATTATAATAAATGAATTATTAAATTTATATAATTTTTATATTTTAAAATTAGGAAAAACAGTAAAGAAAAAGAAAAAAGAAAATATAATAAAAAGAAATACAAAAAAAAAAAAAATTTGAAGTATAACTAATTTACCATTAAATTTTCCCTTTAATGTTTAAAGAAAAAAATAAAATAAAATAAGTCTTTTTTAATATGTCCGATATTTTTCCAATAAATAATCGTAATTTCCGGTAAAGGAAAAAAAAAGTAATTTTTTAAAAGACAAAAGAAATTTTTCTGTGTATATTTGGTTCATTTTTTCTTATTTTAATTATTATAATTAATTTTATAGTTAATCAAAAAAAAAAAAAAAAAAAAAATTCAAAAGGAATAAATGAATGTTAGGAAAATAAAAGGTAAAAAAAAATATGGAAAGAAAAATATTTTAAAAAATGAAAAAGTAATGATAATATAAAATTTTGTACTAATATTTTTTTTTTCTTCTTTAAAATGTAATCCGGTTTTGTTATAATTTAAATTTATATTAATCATTTTTTATTTTTTTTTACCCTTCAAAGTACAGATTAAATTTTCAGATATTATAACTGAGTAATTTTTTTTTTTTTTGTTAATTGTGATATTTGTTAGTACAAAAGAATTATTCCGGTATCCGGAAATGCAGTATTTTTCGCATTTATTTATTTTTTTTATACCGATATTTCATATCATTTAAAAATTAATAAGTATTAAATACATTTATTATTAAATATAATAAATTGCTAAAAATTTTAGAACCAATTAATTTTGAAATATTCCTAAAAATAACAATTAATTATACTAAATTATACAATTATTTATTTTTGTTTTTTTTTTTCCTTCTTCCATAAATTAAATTAAATCAAAAAAATTTTCCATTAGATTTTAAAATTTTACAGTTAGTTGAATTTTTCAAATTGTTCAGTTTATTTCACATAAAAAAAAATTTTTGGTTTTGCAAAGTAAAAAAAAAAAGTGAAAAGAAAAGTGAAGAAGAAAAAAAAAAATGAAAATAAAATAAAATAAAGAAATGTTTCAGCTTTTGATTAATATTATCAAATAAGAAAAGCAAAAGTAATAATAAAAACAAAAATTGGCAAATATATCAAATTTAAAAATGATAAAATAAAAAAAAAAAATAATAAATAAAAAAATTAGTTGATGTAATTGATAACGCCCAATTTAAAAAAAAAAAAAAAAATGAAAACAAAATTATCAAAGAAAAAAAAAGTAAAAACGAAAAAATAAATTATAAAAAATTATTGAAAAATCATTCTTCAAAAAAAGTTTCCCAATTTTTTTTTTTTTTTTCTTAAAAAAAGAATTCGTAAATTGAAATGTTATAATTAATCAAAAAAGCGCAAATATTTAATGAAATATAAAGATAAGTTCAAAAGGTTTATATCTGACTTTTTTGTTTTATTTGCTAATATAAATGAAAGTAATTAATTAAGGGAGCAAAGATCACATTTCGTTATTTTATTATCAAAATTTCCTTTTTATTATTTATTATTAATTATTATTATTGTTATTCCTATTATTATTAATTATTGTTATTATTATTATTTATTATTATTGTTAATCTTATTATTATTGATTATTGTTATTATTTTTATTATCATTATTAATTATTATTGTTCTTATTGTTATTATTATTATTATCATTATTAATTATTATTGTTTTTATTGTTATTATTACTATTATCATTATTAATTATTATTGGTTTTATTGTTATTATTATTACTGTAAGTCATAAATTAGTTATGCTTCTTCAAGTTGTTAGCAAAATTAGTTTGATTTTAATTTTAGGAGATTTTTTTTTATTTTTTATGGTAGCAAAACAGATTAAATGAACGGAAAGGTGAAAATTTTTTAATGTTTTATACCATACTGAAATTTCTGTTTTAGTTTAATGAAATTTTATAATAAAAATTCTTCCGTTGCTATCTCATCTTTTTTTCATCTTTAATAACTGATAACTGATATTTAATCTTGCTCATTTCAATTACTATAAAATATTATTGGAAAAAGCAATTTTTCTATAAAGTAATCTTTCATTTCTTTTTTTAACTTTTTGTGAGATTCACATTTATAAATAAAAAATGATTCTTTTAATATTTATTAAATTGCACTTTATTTTATGTTTATTATCATAACTTGCTCTCGATCATTTTACAGATATTCATTTTTAATATCAATTGTACCGAGATATCACTGAAATTGAGGCAAATTATAGCAATTATACAGTTTGATAAATTAACTGATATATTTATTCTAAATTTATAATCAAATTCATATATTTATTCCAAATTTTTAATCAAATTTGAAAATACTTTAATCTATTCATTTCAAATTTATAATCAAATACGAATGCATTTTAAATTTAAAATCGAATTAATTAGTAATAGAAAATAATGAAGTGAATATGAAATTGATAATTTGTGATTTAATTTCCCATACTGCAATCTTATCATTTACCTCTATTTCGTGGGTAAGCAAAAGAGTGAATTGATGGGTGGGTAGATGAGATTAGCAGTATATCAGTATTTGATTACTTGATTACAGGATAATGGGAGAAAAAAAAAAGAAAGTGGTTGATGATGATTGATGCGACCAGAAAGAAAGAAGTAAATGATAACTATCTAAAGAAGATTGCATGATTAAAGGTTAAAGGTTAAAGGGTTAAAGGGTTAAAGGGTTAAAATGCTAAAATTGCTACAATGTAGTAAATAAAAAGAAAGCTTAAACAATATTGAAAGATTAAAAAAAAAAAATTATTAAAATAAAATAGAATTGAAATATTTGTTTAAAAAAAAAAAAAATGAAATAAGGATTAAAATGAAGTAAAAAGATAAGCAATTAGATATATCAGAAAAAAAAATTTAAAAAAAGAAAAAAAATTTTTTTTTTTCAATAAGTATAAATTTATTAATAATTTTCATTTCATAATTATATAAATAAAAATTATCCATAATTTGCCAAAAATTCCATTCATAATTTTTTATTTAAAAATATTTTGTTTTAATTTAAAAAAAAATTTGATACTAAATTTGATAATTATTTTGAAAATTTAAAATAATAATATAATTTTATTTCATTTTCGTTTCTATTTGCTATTTATTTCAATGCAGAGAAGA